CTCAGCTGAGATGCCCGACTAAGACAAACCGGCAGATTCTGGACCGCAGAAGATCATACACTGAAGACAATGCCAACAACATCAGAATTAAGAAGACACGGGTGGAAGTGGAACAATCGACTGTACAAGACAAAATAAAATAAATAGGTAGAAATAAATTTAATAAATAAAAAAGTTAAGGTGAACAACAGTGTTGTATTTTTTTTCAGCACTCTTCTATACATTTTCACAATGAAAGTCGAGGGTTTTAGTATATTATATTATATTATATTATATTATTTCATATTAAATTATATTATATTATATTATATTATATTATATTATATTATATTATATTATATTATTTAGGGTTGTCAGTTGATTATAAATATTCATTTAGTTCACTAAAATTAAAATTCATAATTTAGTTTTACAGACCTTGCAAATTTGGCTGCCAGCTTTCTTCTTCATGTTTTTGTTTTTCTTTGAGCAAAAAGTAGAATTTATTTTAAAAAATATTTCCCAAATTATGTTTAACAGAGCAAGTAATTTTTTCACAATAAGTCTGATATTATATATATATTTTCTTCTGGAGAAAGTCTTATTTGTTTTATTTCGACTAGAATAAAAGCAGTTTTTAATAAAAAACAAAAAACATTTTAAGGTCAAATTTATTAGGCCCTTTAAGCTATATTTTTTCGATAGTCGACAGAACAAACCATCAATATACAATCACTTGTCTTATTACCCTAACCTGCCTAGTTAACTTAATAAGCCTAGTTAAGTCTTTAAATGTCACTTGAAGCTGTAGAGAAGTATAATGAAATATGTCTAGTCAAATATTATTTACTGTCATCATGGCAAAGATAAAATAAATCAGTTATTAGAAATGAGTTATTAAAACAGTTATGTTTAGAAATGTGTTAAAAAATCTCTCTGTTAAATAGAAATTGGGGAAAAATAACAGGGAAGCTAATAAGAAGATAACTATAGATAGTTATATAGGTTGGTAGGTAGGTAGGTAGCATATTAAAAAACAATAGCTTTAAAATTCCAGACACTCAGAATTATTCTGTGAGTAATGTTTCAACAACAATTGAACATTATGTAAAGTAAAATCATAAGAATTTATGATTGGAAATCTAACACACCAGAGCAAAATAAATAAATAAATAAATAAATAAATAAATAAATAACTTGTGTTTTACAAATCTTAATCTAACTTTAACCTTAATGAAATGATGTGGAGTAAACTAAAACAGAGCATTTGACCTGAAGTCACGAAATAGAAGGCGAAATCTGCTTTGCACAGAAATATGAGCAATTCCAGCATAATGGATGTGACATTTGCAGTAAAATCTCAAAACATAAATTCACAGAGAAAGTATATGTTAACATTATATTGAAACATCTTTTTTTATTTTTATTAAATTACTAACCACAGAGTTAGGAGATCAGAAAAAAACAATCAATTAATCACAATTACAATTAAAAAAAATCAATCACAATTTTTCATATTTCAAATCAAAACCCAAAAAGGTTTGCAAGTTTACAGTATTCAACATAGCTTCTAGAAATTCTGTGAATTACCAGATTCACTATAGAACTAAAATGATTGATTTTAATATATTTTATTTAACATTTTTTGCAGTTATGAGGAAAACGCTCTGTTATGGATGTGACAGATATGAAATTTCCATTTGTGTGACTTTTGTAAAACAAATATAATTTTTGAAAAAACCTTGACAGATACATTTTTGAGTATTTCCGTACTGTAAAATACAAGCCTGCTCAAACAAACTTAGAAAGGGTTTTTGGTGAAAACCTTTTTTCATGGCGAGGTTCACATTTGGCGACGTGGTGGCGAATTGGGTAGCACTTTTGCCTCACAGCAAGAAAGTCGCTGGTTCGAGCCTCGGCTGGGTCAGTTGGCATTTCTGTGTGGAGTTTGCATGTTCTCCCCGTTTTTGCGTGGGTTTCCTCCAGGTGCTCTGGTGTCCCCCACAGTCCAAAGACATGTGATATAGGTGAATTGATTATGCCAAAATTGACCATAATGTAGGTGTGTGTGTGTGTGAGCGTGTGTACGAATGTTTTACCAGTGATGGGTTTCAGCTGGAAGGGCATGCGCTGCATAAAAAAATATGCTGTATAAGTTGGCGGTTCATTCTGCTGTGGCGACCCCAGATCAATAAAGGGACTAAGCTGAAAAGAAAATGAATGAATGGATGAATGAATGAATGAATGAGGTTCACATTTATGGAATTGCTCATATGCTAAAACAGCCACTATTACAGTGTATAACAACTTGATCACACTGTAGGTAAATTTAAACAACCAAAATAGACATATACGTCATAATGCTTTATATATATGAACATGTTAAAATGTCTTTTCACGAGAGCTGTTTAGTTGATATTTCATGAAATGCAGTGTTGAGGTCTATCTGGACATCTGTCACTCTGCAGCTGAGCTCATGATGAAGAATCGCCAGGGATGGGCAATAATACTGTGCACTGAAATGTATTTTAAAATAAAATACCAAATACCTCAATTTTACATGTATGTGAAATAAACTAAAGAAAACAGCAGCCACAAATGTATTAAAATAAACTACTGTATTTAGAAAATTATACAAAATACTTTTACAAGGAAGTGTGACATTTCTTCACAAACCTTCGATCAATAGACCTGTTCGATCAATCCCTTCACCATTAAACTGATTTGTGAAATAACAACAGCCTTTCTCTGAGCAAGTTTTAAGTCAGCTTCTCTGCCAACTCATTCACCTCTACTCCTGTACATGAGTAGGCATTCATAAACATTGTTTCTCTTTCAATTCAGTATAAATTTTGTACAAATTTCATATAGAAAGTCCTGTCTTAAAGATGATCTCTTTAATCACTGTAAAAACCATCTAATGCAGATAATGAGTTGGAACATACTACTATATCTCTTTGTTGTTTCCATCCATTGTGTGGCCAGTGAAATGGACACCATCTCTTAACGTCTTATATTTTAACGAAGAGGTTTTTTTTTTTTTTTGTTCACATAATTATCTTTAAACAAATCTTTAATACTTAATATAAAAACATAATTTCTGAAAACTACTAAAATCCACAGCTTTAGTCATTTCCATACATCATGCTAGTTTTTGCAAGTGTTCTCTTTAATGCACGTGTCTTTAAAAAAAAAAAAAAAAAAGGTGTTCTCTGTTTTTGCAAATAAACTCTTTATATACTATATGTCCTGCTGCAGAAGAGGAGCTTGGCCAGATGCACCCCAGCCCAAACCAAACGCATGAATTGAGCATGCCATTGTTAATATATTAGGAGAAACATAAACGTATGTATGCTTTTTTGGTCAAACGCTTTGGACATCGCTTGAACAAAATTTAAGACTTTGTAAAAACTCAATAATTTGTTTAATACCTTTTAAGGGCCTTAATTTTCTCATAACTGATTTAACAACTTTTAATACTTTTCAAGACCCCGCGGACACCCTGTAATAAATAGCATCTGTATGACAAATATAATTAACCTGATGTTTTCTAATAATGATAACGTGGCGTAGCATATAAACTAAAAATAGCTGTGGGCCTAAAGTCATGGTCACACTGCACTTTTAGCCCCATAGATTTCCATGCATACGCATGCGAAAGCAGAAGACAGGAAACGCAGGCTTGTGCGACAAGTTTTGCATGTTGCTGCACTGTAAAGTTCTAGCTTGGCAAACTCTGACCTGCAAAATTGCATCACGTGACTGTGTGAGACCAATCGAAGCTCAAAACATGACCTCTCTGTACAGAAATGTTAAATATAGACCACTAGCTTGCTTTTTTTTAATGTCTAATCATCCTAATCGTCGCCCCTTTTCGCAGCGCTGTACAACAGAATTTCACATGCTCTAGTGTGACTGCAGCATAAGACAGAGCCTTGTGGCACTCTTTACTGCAGTTAGCTCAAGACATTTACCTATTTAAATGAACAAAGCAAACACAGTAAAGGGAGGGGACATCTTTATTCATTGATCAGTAAAACAATTTGCTCAATGAATGAGCAACGTCCTCTACAATAAACATCAGCATCATCATCCAAAGTCTACAATACCAATTTAGCAGCAACATGTTAACATGGGGGAGACAGAGTGGTAACAAAGTAGTATCATTTAGAAAAAAAGTCACAGTTTTTCTTTCTATTTGTTTCGTTAAAAAGGATTTGCAAGGAGGATATTTTAAAAAGAGCTTTATTGACAGCTATGGACGCTACTGTTATTTTCATTATTATTATTATTTTTTTAACTAGGGCATGTGCTCTATACAGAATACAAGGGGAGATTTTAACTATACATTTAAACTCTAATATAAAGCACGTCTGTGTCACCATACAAATTTTAGGAGATTTGACAAAAATATACAATGTTTTCACTTCACATTTGAAGATTCAGAACACCACTAAGTTATTTATTTATTAACTTTTTTTTTTTTTTTAGAATTTTCTTTTTTATGTATTTTTTTGCTTTTTTCACTGTAAATACAACAGTCCCATTGGTCAAACCAACCAACCGAAGGAGACACAACGTTAGTTTTCTACTCAATAAGCTATGAGTGATTTAAATCGGTAAGAGGACGAATATAAATTAATATATATTAAGAAATTCCAACTGTAACTCCAGGGAACCAAGGGCTATACTGAGTATAAGTAATGTGACAGTATTTTTGATACAATAAATACACATGGTTTATAATGCGGATCAGAAAAGAGTGTGTGTGTGTGTGTGTGTGTGTGTATGTGTGTGTGCATGCTGGAAGAGACCATGGGTGTATACTTAGTAGGGATGGTGTGTGTGTGTAAGAGAAAGCAGCTATGATAGTGTGTTTGTGTGGTGTAAGGAAGTAAGATGGGAATCCTCCGCTCTCAGTGAATCCCCTTGCAGCCTCCATAATGATACTTTATCTCACCTTCACAAAGTCCAGGTGAAATGAGTTACGGCAGTCCAGAAAATCACAAAAAAAGAATGGCACATAGAATGACACACACAAAAAAGAAACATGTCGTCAGGGTGTGTTTGCTTTCCATTCTTATTTGAGGTGATTTTGCCCAAAAAAAAAAAAAAAGGTAATGAAAACGTCACAGTACCTAAGATGGCAAATAAAAAACCTCTAAAATCTATTTTTTGTCCTTTTTTCTCAGCTTCATAATAAAAAATAGGTTCTTTATCTTACAGTAATCCATTATCTCCTTTGAAGGAAAAAAACATTAGTCCAACACTGACAAAAACAAAACAGGGGACTTCAAACAAGGGGAGGGTGAGGATGTATTTTTGTTGTTGTTGTTTTAGGATGGACATTTTGTGCAGCCACACTTGACAACCTTTTCCACCTCCTGTACAAAAGAGGACCCGTCTGTGCATTGGAAGGTGTATTTCCTGCGTTTGCTGCGGAGCGGGGCGCAGCAGGAGGTCCCGTCCCCACAGCTGCCCCGACACTCTAAACGCGAGACCTTCTCTGTGCTCTGGCACGCGGCGTAGCCCTGCTGCGTCTGATAGTGATCTCGGACCCGTTCCCCCCGACACGCCATCTCTACAGGAAACAGACAAAAAACAACACTTAGTCAGCACTATATATATCTTATTAAGCATGATCTTTCATGATATTTTTACTGAGAAAAAAGTCTGAGTGAAATAAAAAAAAAAGGACTGTGGGAGCTGCAGAAATATAGGTTCACCTTAAAGGGTTAGTTCACCCCAAACATGAAGAATTTCTGTTACTAATTACTCACCCTCATGTCATTCCAAACTCTTGTAATCTTCATTTGTCTTTGAAATACTGATAAAGATTTTTTAGATCACAGGTCTCAAAATCAATTCCTGGAGGGCCGCAGCTTTGCACAGTTTTACACCAAGTCTAATCAAACACAGCTGACCCAACTGTGCGCACGACTACTAGAGTCTATTAAGCAGGTATGAGTTAGGGGTGGATGGAGATAACGAAGAGAGTTTTAGCCCTCAAAATATTGAGCTAAAGACCACTGTTTTATATTAAATCTGAGAGCTCTTATCCTATATATATAATATATGTATATATTAATATAAACATATATATATATATATATATATATATATATATATATATATATATATATATATATATAGACAGAAAAGGATGTTTTGCCATAAAATTGCCATTACAGGAATACCTATCCATTTTCACCACAGAATGAGAGCTCAATAATTATTTATTTTAGCTAATTATCATTTTATCCAGTGACTTTTGTTGTTTTATTTTTTAATTTATCGTGATTTTTTTTTTTTCAGTTAAAATGTTTCTGAACAATAGTTTTCGTCTTCTTTTTAGTTTGTGTTTACTAAAATAACCTTGGTTCATGAGAGCACAATGCACGTGTGTACTAGGTTGTGCTGTTGAAGTGTTCCCTCAGATGCATCCATGGGTATCTTGTGTATACATCAGTGCACAGTGCTAAATTACAATTAAATTAATTAATTTTGTTTTATGTGCGTACAAAAATATTCCTGTAGCTTTAAAACACTGTGATTGAACCCCTGAAGACACATGAACTGTTTTGACAATGTTTTTGGTACTTGGAATGAATCGGAACTGTTGCTCTCTATGGAGGATGAGAAAGATCAGATTTTATCTGATAGATCTTAATTTATGGCAATGTGGTGGTGCAGTAGGTAGTGCTGTCGCCTCACAGCAAGAAGGTCACTGGTTTGAGCCTCGGCTGGGTCAGTTGGCATTTCTGTGTGGAGTTTGCATGTTCTCCCTGTGTTCGCATGGTTTTCCTCCGGGTGCTCTGGTTTCCCCCACAAGTCCAAAGACATGTGATACAGGTGAATTGGGTAAGCTAAATTGTCCATAGTGTGTGTGTGTGTGAATGAATGTGAAAGGATGTTTCCCAGTGACGGGTTGTGGCTGGAAGGGCATCCGCTGCGTAAAAACGTGCTGAATAAGATGGCGTTTCATTCCACTGTGGCAACCCCAGATCAATAAAGGGACTAAGCCGAAAAGAAAATGATCGAATGAATGATCTCAATTTATGTTTTAAAGATGAACAAAGGTCTCTTTGGAATAACATGAGGAAGAATAATTATTGTCAGAATTTAAATTTTTGGGTAAACTATCCCATTGCATAATTAAAAATCTTTAAGCTTCATAATAAGTTCATACTGTGTCTGACTTCCCATTATTGTGTAGATGTGAAAATATATCAATGGTTTTCAATGTTATCATGTTTTTACCGTTTGCATTCACCACTTTTATTTTTTCATTAAAGAGTATGTCCCAAAAATGTCACTTGCTGCAGAGCCACTTAGGTGGAGCTGGAGCCCCTAACCCATGGGTGTCAAACTCAATTCCTGGAGGGCCGCAGCAGTGCAGTTTAGTTCCAGCCCTGCTTCAATACAATCTGTAGGTATCAAACAGCCTAAATCCCTCAATTAGTTTGATCAGGTGTGTTTAATCAGGGTTGGAACTAAACTAAACTCCAGGAACCGAGTTAGCTGCGGTCACACTGGGCTTTTCCTCCCATAGACTTCCATTCATACACACACGAATGCGTCAGACCGGAAACGCAGGGTCATGTGTCAAGTTTCGCAGGTTGCTGCGGTGCAAAGTTCAAGCGTAGTGAACTCTGACCTGCGGAATCACATCACTTGACTGCGTGAGACCAATCAAGGATCAAAACATGACCTCTCTGGACAGAAATTTAAAACATGGAGCAATCGCTCACTTTTTTAGATGTCTAATAAGCTTGTTTAATCCCGCCCCTTTTCGCAGCGCTGCACGACAGAATATCGCATGCTCAAACTCTAATATGACCGCAGCTTCAGACACCTGTGCCCTAACCTCAACCCCCAGTGAAGTACAGCAATAAGGCTCCCCCTTGCTAGAGGTCAGCTCTGCCCATGTGGCTCTGCAGTGAGTACAGTACCACACACAAAGTTGTGTATGAAAATGTAAAATACTTTTTGCATAAGTAAATGTAGATATGTGTATTTGTTTATTTATTCTGACACAGAAAAACTTTGATGATATGGTTGCAATTTATTTTACAGTGCATGTAATTACCTAATAAAGTACAAGGATAACTATGAAACTACAAGGCTTAAGGTTGGGTTTAGGGTAGCGCAGAGTTATTATGCAGTTTATGTACATGCAGTATAGGACTGTTAAGTGAAGTGCTGCCAATAATTCGAACGAAAAAAACAAATTGTGGACAGCAAAAAGCATTTTAGGTACTCCATGTCCTGAATACCTGGTACAAACTGACCCGAGCACAAAACCTGTGACTCTGGGTGTATTTTAAGAGCAATTAAGCTTTTCTTCCTCTTTAAAACTTTACATGCTGTATTTGCCAGGTCAAAAAAAAACAAAAAAAAACAGATGTGTTATGAAGTTTAAGTTTTAAGAGTTATTAGTTATTAATTGACGAAAGAAACTAAAGATGAACACACACACACATACATACATGCATGCTTCCCTCACCTGGCGGACCTGAGTGGGGTCCATACCGCTTTCAGTAGCAGCTTGAAGGTTACAGAAATGTTAAAAATGAAGGTTAGTAAAACAAAACAGTAGTGCAGTATTAGCTCTTCATAGAGTTAGCATTTCAACAGCAAAGCAACAAAGAAATTAAGAAAGAACGCACAACTTTTAGCAAGGTAAGCATTTAAGACATTTAACATGCAAGCACAGGATTCAGTTCTGGAGTGCGTTTCCCAAATAACAACATAACTCACGACTGAACTACCACAACATGATGCATCTTTCGGGAATAAGTAAAAAGTTGCAAAGATCCATAGTCTGTACGTATGGAAGGGACACTTGTATTTTTATATAATACAATTTTCTATAATTGTTTCACATGATATATAAATGCATTATGAGTTCTGTGAGTATTTAATAATAATCATCTTGTTTGCTTGTACTTCGTCTATCTTTTTTTGCTCCATACTTATGTAACTTATTTTTACAAATTTGTAATGACAAAGTAGTCTAATGTCATGTACAAATTAAATATCTGTCCGTGCAATGACATGTAAAAATCTATTTTAATTTTACTGTAGTGTAATGTTAATGGACGAAAGAAACTAAATATGAACACACACATACATACATGCTTCCCTCACCTGGCGGAAAAGAGTGGGGTCCATATATATATATATATAGATATATATATATGATTTGAATTAGTTTTTGAAAATTGACACAGGCCTACTTTTTAAATGTAAATGAAAACCATGTGTATATGCATTTAGCATAACGTATATGTTTCCTCTCCCAGTCTTTGGAAGGTAACAGATTTTTGCTTGTAATATAATGTAAAAACATTTTGTGCGGCACTGCTGCGATCAAAATGACATAAATGCGTTCAGAATGCACTAAATAGGGACAAACATTGTCACTCTGAAGATCATTAAACTAAACCGCAATAAAAAATAATAACTTTGAGAGCAAATTACATAAAATGTGAGCAAGCCAAAGATATTTTAATGTGGTTGAAGAAGTGTTTTAAAAGAATAGGGTATAGGAAGATAACTCAGAGTAGAATACAGCCAGGAGCTCTGCTTCTAACCACAGGTCTAGAGATGTATTTACAACCACACAAGATTGCGATGCTGCTTACCAATGTTCATTGGAACAACAAATTTAGGAAAAACAGAATTTGTGAACAATGTTTATGATGCAGAACTTGTAAACTTAGTTGGCTAATGATGGTTTTGGGAAACGCACCCCTAGTAAGTATTGCCAACACATACACTTTTATGAAATATCTTGCCATTCAATGATCTGATCAGCTAAAGTTTTAACCCTCTGTTTTTGTTCCCCTGACAGTGACATGAATGTACTTGATTTTTTTATGATCTTGTTGTTAGGGTATTGTTGGTACTAAATTACATTTATGTAGCAGTTTATTTTTAGTCAACCATTTTTAGGGCATGGGCCTGAACATGAAATTAATTCTAAATTTTAAGTTAAAAAAGTACATTTTCTAGAGCTCAAAGGCACAAAAATATAATTTTCAAATTTTATATGAAATACTTATTTTCACTAGACTATTTAAAGTTTTTAAATCAGTGTGTGTGCCCTTTTTTGTTTGTTTTTGCAGGGTAATGTAAGTGCCACAATCTTTCAAACAATTCTGATAAACTGCAAAACAAACCAAAATGTAACAAGTTTCAGTGAAAAATGAACAAATAGCACAAAAGGGTTACCTTTTTGTCGGTTTTAAATTCAACTAAGGTTGAGTTTTAGATTTAAAATAAAACACCCTTAAATTTAACAACATTTTGTCAGATTTTAAAATAAAAGACTAATAAACTAAATTTATTCTCAAAAAAACATTTTTAAAACTGTATTGGATTTGGATTTGTATATCACTTGGAATCTGCAGTGAATTGTTCTATGACTATTAATACTATGGCAGTATTTTTAAAACATGACATTTGATGCTTTTTTTCTAATTATGTTTGATATAAAGAGCAAATCTAGCCATACCTCTGTCGCAGCTTTGCCCCGTGTAGCCGCTGTTGCACTCACAATAGGCTTTGCCCAGTCCAGACACACGACATCGGCCGTATTTGCATGCTATATACTGACAGGGGCTGAGCTGCTCCTCTTCATCACACAGCACACCTGCAAAGCCTGGAAGACAACGGCAGCTGTACGAGTATGAGTTTATGGCCATACACGAGCCATGGATACACCTGAAAGACAAAAACACACAAAGTGCTTTTATGAGTCTGCTCTCTTGCTGTATAATAAACTACTTGTGTGTGTGTGTGTGTGTGTGTGTGTGTGTGTGTGTGTGTGTGTGTGTGTGTGTGTGTGTGTATGTGTGCGTGTGCGTGTGCATGTGCATGTGCGAGATTTTTAAGTCTCTCACTTGTTCCCGTCACATGGGTTGTTGACCTGCTGGTCACAGAGCGGGCCAGTCCATCCCGCCTCACACTCACAGCTGAAAGAGGACTGTCCAGTGGCATGGCACTGGCCATGAGCACACATGCTCCGCTGGCATGGCTGGCATCCGGGCACAACACCCTCCTGCAGCAAAAACTGGGTGAGATCCTGGAGTTGGTCATTAATGTAGAGATTTCGGATGCAGCCATGGAAACTAGAGCCATTCCTGCCAGAGCCCTGACGCAACGAGGCCAATCCAGACTGCTGAGGAAGACCTGACAACATACAAGATTATTCTATAGTTTTATTCCTAATTGTTAGAATTGTATTATTATTATAATTTACATTGATGTGAACTGCGTCTGAAAAGATCTAGACTTGACATAGTGCTAACGCTGGCATTTTATAAAGTGGCTTGTACATACCACCAAGATAAAGCGGGGCCGGGCTGGGCACTGGGCTGGGGCTATTGGCAGTGTTGATGGATTTCGGGCTTCCTCCATCAATGGACAGTGACAGAGACTGATCCTTTGCCACCAGCTCCACTACATGAAAGCTGCCATCATTTATTGTCTCGACACTAAAAAAAAAGAGCACAAGTGAGCTGTTAGACAGTTAAAAACACAAAAAGGTTATTTGATTAGATGAGATGATGAAAATTAGCACATTACTGAAAAGAAAATAATTTTTTTTTTTTTTTTTTTTTAGGATTTTGCTACTGTTAATATCAGAGGTCAATAGTACTAGTGGTACTTCAATAGTACTGTTGATCAATAATCCAACGTGAAAGGCCATTTATACAGGTTTTGGAAAATGGATTAGATTTCTTTTAGGATTCTTTGTTGAATAGAACGTTCAAAATAACAGCATTCATATGAAATGTAATATTTTTTTGACAAGATTAAAGACTTCAAAGGCCTTTACTCACGGTTTCCACCCACCATACCAAAGATTTAGATCTTTTTGGTTGATAATCTCAACACTATCAAATGCAGATGGAAAACACTGCATTCTCATCATCATTTCAACACCAGAAGTCCTATAGTTTTAGCGAAGCAGAATATAAATAATGCCACTCCATGAAAATTATTTCAAGATTACTTGGTGCTATTTTACATCTCAATAAAATCCAGAAAACCTACTCTAAATATGTGGTCTACTATGCTGCTCCAGAAGACTTATTTTTTGCAAAAAGGTCAGACAATCATACAGCAACGCAGGTTTCTGCAGAGTGCGACACCAAAAACAGAATGTGGTCTCTTTTTATCTAGAGCACCACGAGGCCATTAGTGACATACAGGATGAATCACAGTTACATCAATTTTGACCTACTTGCACCAACTTGCACTTTTAACCTACCCACTTTTGATCTATATTTCAGTCTACTTACCTCCTACCCGAACAAATAGCTTGTAAAATCATCATGCATGAATCCATATCTTATCTGGTGATAAATCGTGTTAAAGTGGTCACACTTGGTCTAACTTAAACAGTACATACACGGAATAATAAAAGAACAGACCTTTATAATGTATATAAATGAGTATATTAAATGAATATGAGATGAATAAAATGAATTTTCCACCACAGATGGTAACCGCATATATATATATATATATATATATATATATATATATATATATATATATATATATATATATATATATATATATATATATACTGTACATATGATTTTGTTAGCTCGCATTGCCAGCTTTGTGGTGAACAATTCATCTTTGCATGGCATTAAGAAAAAAAAATTAATTATTTGCCCTTCCGACGCGGTGACGCATTAGATAGTGCTGCTGCCCCACAGCCAGAAGGTTGTTGGTTTGAGCCTCCGCTGGGTCAGTTGGCGTTTCTGTTTGGAGTTTGCATGTTCTTTCCGCGTTCGCGTGCGTTTCCTCTGGAAGACATGCGGTACAAGTGAATTGGGTAGGCTAAATTGTCTGTAGTGTGTGAGTATGAATGAGTGTGTATGGATGTTCCCAAAGATGGGTTGTAGCTAGATGGGCATCCGCTGCCTAAAACATATGCTGGAAAAGTTGGCGGTTCATTCAGCTGTGGTGACCCCAGATATATAGGGGTCAAGGGGCTAATAGGGGGCAAGGGCCTAAGCCAAAAAAAATGAATGAATGTTTGCCCTTCTAATCTTTAATTGAAATCTGAAAATGCACTTCCTGTTTGTTTTCAGTTAGTTTATCAGATTACATGATTTTGAGGTAATGGCCATGGCTAGTGCTGCACCATCTGTCAGTTTTGACAACAAACAGTAATGGTGAGCAGGAGGAGTCTGTTAGGTTAAAATAACTCTTATAAACCCCCTTACCTGACCTTTCTGAATAAAATGCCTACTTTATTACATCCATTCAACCTGCGGTAGAAAAAACAAACCACGCCCACAGTTTGCTCATTTACAATGCGGTTTCTCTAGAAAATGCGTCACAGTAGTAAAAACATAAAAATCGCAGCTTTCTGTTTACTTTAAATGAGAAGTTATGCTTTGAGCTGTGAGATGTGTCCACGACAAGTGTGTGCAGCTTATGTTACCTTATGGTGTCACTCTCTTGATATTGGATATTGGAGATGCATAAATTGCTGGTATGCACTGATCCTGCTATATCCACTGGTGCTGCTATTTGTGACAGGACAGTACAGATGTCACAAAGGCTATTTTAGGGTTTAACTCAATTTTAACTCAAATATATAGTTACTGAACTTTGAAGTGCAGGTTGATTTACTAATGTTTGGTGAAGATACAAAACAAAACAGCCTAAAGGTACAGTTCAGTCTCTTCCTGAAACAATAACATTTATGTCATATATTGTTGAAAAGACCTCAACCAGCACAACACTATAGGCCAGGGGTTCTCAACCCTGTTCCTGAACATCTACTTTCCTGTAGAGTTCTGCTCCAACCCAGACACACCTGAACCAATTAATTAGGACAGCACTTGATAATTACAGACAGGTGTGTTTAATATGGGTTGCAACTGAAAATCTGCAGGAAGGTTGAGACTGTAGCCCAGGGATGGGCAAACTTGATCCTTGAGGGCCGGTGTCCCTGCAGAGTTTTGTTCCAACACTAGTCAAACACACCTGAACAAACTAATCAGCGTCTTCAAAATCACTTGAACTCTTAGGGAGGTCTGTTTGAATAGGGTTGGAACTAAACTATGCAGGACACTGGCCCTCCAGGATCAAGTTTGCCCACACCTGCTATAGCCTATGACAAGACTACCTAATGCTTTCCAGATGATAAATTCAAGTATAGTTGCATTTTTATTTTTAATTTAGGCATATATTTACAGCTCATATCATTGACCTGTTTAAATGTGTATTTTCATCTTTTTTCATCCCATGTATAGTAAATTGATGTACTTTAGTTTGAAGTCCACTCACTTTACAAATCTCTTCCTATTCTAAAACAAACAAGCTCTTTTCCTGCAGGCTATATGTCAGAATCCTAATTTCAATTGCTTTTTAAGACTTTTTTAAAGACCTTCTCAGAATATTTTAGGACCTCATCACCACTTCAAGTTCTAATCAGTAATTAAACCTTTAGCTTAATAAACAGTTGTACTGCAGCAGTGGCCACACCCCCAATCACAGGCCCAATAGCATGGCAGTGGTGGTAAATCGCAACTTAAAATATGTTTTCATTAATGTGTTAAAACTTGGACAATAAAATAAACTGTCTTTTATTGAAATCTGTGAAAACAGATGCTGTCAGTCTTTCTTTTTTACAACTCTGAAGCACTGATATAGCTGATGTTATGTTTAATAGGGTGGTACACCAGAGTTAAAGGACACCTATGGTGAAAAATCTACTTTTCAAGCTGTTTGGACAGACATGTGTGTAAGCATAGCACATAGACCGTCATATTGGGGTGATATAAACACAAACAGTCCTTTTTTTTCAATATAACAACATAAAACAGTGGACTGGTTGGAGCGTTTGTCAGAGCAACTGCAACTTGACGTAGGAGTGCGGTCCCCCCTCCCACCAATGTTGATTGACAGGCGCGTCACCATATCCTTAGTTTATTGTTTCACGTCCGCCATTCTCAGCTTGTGAGTCAAAGCAATATCACTAAAGGAACACCCTTGCTCTATTTTTAGATGTAAGTCTCATTGGGCTCAACAAAAGATCAATTTTCTCCACATTATTGCTCTAGTCAGAATGGCTGTTTGTACCGTTTGGTAGATTTGCAAACGTGTACTTTTCATTGCGTCTACCTTAAACCTAAGCCGTTTGCATTTCTCGCGATCACAGAAGCTCCCTGTGATCTTAACTAGGTGCAGCTGGAAAAGTGTAAGTTTGTTGCCTCATGTGCCATTGGCATTGGCAATGGAGACATTGGCATGTCTCCATTGGAAATAAAATAACAAACTTGCCTGCAGGTCGCTACCTAAAGAAGCATCTGCCACTCAAAACTTGACAGACTCCACTTAAAAGACCCGCCTTCCTCAATAGAAAAAAAACAATCAAACTAACAATGACGTCAAGTATTACCTAATCAAAAGTAGGAAATAAGGCATCTTCATAAAATGTGTGTGGGATGATTTGCATAAAAAGCTACTTTAAAAAAAGAAGATAAATACGGGACAAAACTCGTTATTAATTCAAAATGTGATGCACAATTTTGTTGTCAATTACAGGACGATTCTGTATTTTAAGGGACACGTGGCAACCCTAGTTTCACTACACGAGAGCGTCATATCACCTTCCATTGTTTGCCACAAATTACGCAACATCACCCGGACAGAGGATCTTGGCTGGATGCACTCCCGCCCCAACCAATCACGTGGATCGAGCATGTTAATATTATGAGAGATATATAAATATATTTATGCTATTTTGGAGTCAAACACTTTGGACAATGCTTGAACAAAATTTAAGACCTTGTAAAAATGCCTTTAAGACTTTTTAAATACCTTTTAAATGCCTTAATTTTCTCATAATTGATTTATCAACTTTTAATACTTTTTAAGACCCCGCGGACACCCAGTTTCAGTACTGTTGTTAAATATCTGCAATATCTAGTATGTGTGTGTACCTGTAGATTGCAGATGGAGGATATGATCCAGAGTCATAACTGACTCTCAGTCGGCCTCTGTAAAGCTCCACAGCAATGTGTTCATTATCTCCTTTGTACAGCAACACTCCATTATCCTCATCTGTGGCGATCTATGACACACACATACAGTGCAGGTGTGTTTATGCACAATCCCTCTCTTTTTTACATACCTGAATGATCAGTGCATTTACCTGCAGAGATATATTGGCCTGTTCTGTAATGAGGTTGGAGGGGATTTGCAGGAAGGATTCTCTGTTGATGAAGTTGACGCTGACCAGTCTTTCACAGTGCACACCCTCATAACCTGGCAGACACTGACACACGGGGTCCGTGTCCTTCACAACACACTGTGCACCGTTGGCACAGTCGTAGTGATCGCATGGACTTGTTCTTGGCAGGACCATCGGAGGAGAAAACTCGCAGAACAACCCACTGCACACACACACACACACACACAGACAGTAAGACACACATTTCACATGGTAAAGTGTAATTATCGGTTTCTGATGACTGTTGTGTGTTTGTGCTTACCTGTAGCCTTCTGGACACACACACGTGTAGCCGTTCACAGCATCAATACACTGAGCCCCGTTTTTACACTTATTATCTTCACAATCATCAAAATCCACCTCACAGTGCTCACCGGTATAACCTGGAGTGCATTCACACCTATAAAACACACACACACACACACAAGCCAACACATTTAACATTTAAAACCTTCTTTAACTCAGATAACATTTTCAACATAAAAATGACTGAAACTCCTTGACGAGCACAGAGTTGTTTGTTTTGTTGTGGTGATGTTTCTTCTTTCTTTATTTCAAGGTGCCATATACTGCATTGATTCAAGTTAAACTGGTCTCTGATATCTACATAGGTTTGTGGTTTAAGTAAGTTCAGAAAAAGTCCAGAAAAAGATTTATGTGCTCATTTATTACTCCGTAAAATGCCCCTTGAATGAGAAGCTTTATTATATATTGACCATATTTGGGGCGGTCGTATTATATTAATGAGCTCTGAAGCTCTCAGTGCTTTATCAAACCACACACATACGTGTGTGTGTTTATAGTGTGTATCATTTGTGTGCATATGTATAGAGTGCATCATATGTGTCAAATCAAATTAAATCACTTTTATCGTCACATCATCAGCAGCATGTGTGCTTTGATGGGTGAAATCACATATCCAATGACCTACTGTAAGAATGAAATGGTCAATGTATATACTGTACACACGATACATGTACTCAGTACATATGCACAAATGATACACTCTATACACAAACACTCCATACATATACACACAAATGACACACTCTAATCATATACATGTATATATGTATAGAGTGTATAGTCTCATATGTGTATCATGTGTGTATACAGTGATCGTTTTTGTTTTCCAGTAGGTCAGTGGTTATGTGAGTCACCTCTCACGCCACAGACCCGGGTTTTATACCAGACCCTGACAGGAGTGTATCATGTATGTATGTCTAAGGAGTGTATATGTATGGAGTGTATTATTTGTGTATATGTATAAAGTGTATTGTGTGTGCATATGTATGAAGTGTGCATCATATGTGTAAATGTATGGAGTGTACAGTATCACGTGTGTATATGTATAGAGTGTGTCATTTGTGTGTATATGTATGGAGTGTTTGTGTATAGAGTGTATCATTTGTGCATACGTATAGAGTACATGTATCAAGTGTGTATACATTGATCAATTCATTCTTCCAGTAGGTGAGTGGATATGTGATTCAGCTTTCATGCCAGAGACCCGGGTTCTATACCAGCCCCTGACAGGAGTGTATCATGTATATATGTTCAGGGAGTGTATATGTATAGAGTGTATCGTTTGTGTGTATATGTATGGAGGTTATATGGATGAACTGTATATGTATAGAGTGTCTGTATGTATAGAGTGTATCATTTGTGTGCATGTGTTTAATTTGAGTGTATAAGTATAGGGTGTATATGTATATAATGTATCATGTGTGCATATGTATAAAGTGTACCGTGTGCATATGTTTGGAGTGTATCATTTGTGTGCATATGTATAGAGTGTATCATTTGTGTGTATATATGTATATAGTGTATCATGTTTGTATGTGTATAGTGTATTGTGTGTGCATATGTAAAGAGTGCATCATATGTGTATATGTATAGAGTGTACAGTATCATATGTGTGTGTATATACAGAGTAAATGTATTATTTGTGTATACATTGCCCATTTCGTTCTTCCAGTAGGTCAGTGGATATGTGATTTACCTTTCATGCCAGAGACCCGGGTTCTAAAGAGTGTATCATGTATGTATATCTAAGGAGTGTATATGTATGGAATATGTAGGTACATTATGTATATGTATTGTGCATATGTACTGAGTACATGTATCATGTGTGTATATACATTGACCATTTCATTCGTACAGTAGGTCAGTGGATATGTGATTCACCTTTCATGCCAGAGACCCGGGTTCTATACCAGCCACTGACAGGAGTGTATCATGTGTGTATGTCTAAGGAATGTATATGTATGCAATATATCATGTATATGTATTGAGTGTCTGTATGTACGGAGTGTATCATTTGTGTGTATAGTAGAGTGTATTGTGTGTGCATATGTATACTTTGTGTGTTTACTGTATGCATAGAGTGTATACAATGTGTATATGTATAGAGTGTACAGTCTCATGTGTGTATATGGTGATTGTTTTTGTTTTCCAGTAGGTCAGTGGTTATGTGATTCACCTCTCACGCCACAGACCCGGGTTCAATACCAGACCCTGACAGGAGTGTATATGTATGGAGTGTATTATTTGTGTATATGTATAAAGTGTAATGTGTGCATATGTACCGTATGAAGTGCATAATTTGTGTGCATATGTAAAGAGTGCATCATATGTGTATTTGTATGGAGTGTATCATGTGTGTATATGTTTAGAGTGTGTCATTTGTGTGTAAATGTATGGAGTGTATTTGTATAGAGTGTATCTTTTGTGCATATGTATAGAGTACATGTATCATGTGTGCATACATTAGCCATTTCATTATTCCAGTAGGTCAGTGGATATGTAATTCACCTTTCATGCCAGAGACCCAGGTTCTATAATGGCCCCTTACAGGAGTGTATCATGTGTGTATGTCTAAGGAGTGTAAATGTATGGAGTGTATTATTTGTGCATATGTATAATGTATAATTTGTGTATATGTATAAAGTGTCTGTATGTATGGAGTGTATAATTTGTGTGTATACCTACAGTAGAGTTTATCATGTGTGCATATGTATAATTTCTGTGTATATTGTGTGCATAGAGTGTATATGGTGTGTATATGTATAGAGTGTAAAGTCTCATATGTGTATACGGTGATCATTTTTGTTTTCCAGTGGGTCAGTGGTTATGTGATTCACCTCTATGTATAGAGTACATGTATCATGTGTGTATACATTTGTCGGTTTCGTTCTTGCAGTAGGTCAGTGGTTATGTGGTTTATCTCTCATGCCAGAGAACCGGGTTCTATACCAGACCCTGACAGGAGTGTCTCATATGTGTATATGTATAGAGTGTATCATTTGTGCATATGTATAGCGTGTCTAGTGTGTATATGTATAGTGTATCATGTGTTTATATGTATGGACTGCATCATTTGTGTGAATATGTATAGAGTGTAAATTTTTGCGTGTGTATGTATAGGGTGTGTCATGTGTGCATATGTATGGAGTTTATCATTTGTGTGTATAAAGTGCAGCATATGTATAGACTACATGTATCATATGTGTATACGTTTATTGTTTTTATTCTTACAGTGGGTCAGTGGTCATGTGGGTCACCTCTCATGCTAGAGACCCGGGTTCTATACAAGACCCTGACAGGAGTGTATCATGTGTAAATATGTATAGGGTGTATAGAGTGTATAGGGTGTATCATGTGTGTAAATGTATAAAGTGTATCATTTGTGTATATAAGTATAGAGTGTATCAATTGTGTGTTTATGTATAGAGTGTATCATTTTTGTTTATATGTATAGTGTATCATGTTTGTATATATATGTAGAGTGTATCATGTGTACATATGTATAGAGTGTATCATATATGTATAGAGTGTATCATGTTTGCATATCTATAGAGTGTATCATTTTTGTGTATATGTATAGTGTATCATGTTTGTATATATATATATAGAGTGTATCATGTGTGCATATCTATAGTGTATCATTTGTGTGTATATGTATAGAGTGTATCATGTGTGCAAATGTATAATGTGTAGAAAGTGTATACAGTGTATCGTGTATATTTGTATAGGGCAGGGGATGTCCTGAAAGGCCGCAGCCCTGCACAGTTTAGTTCCAACCCCATTGAGTTTGACATCCCTGGTATAAAGTGTATCATATGTGTATATGAAAAGAGTACATGTATTATATGCGTATACTTCATCGTTTTCATTAGTTTAATAACTTTCATTAGCTCAGTGGTTATATGGTTCACCTCTCATGCCAGAGGCCTGGGTTCTATACCAGACCCTGACAAGAGTGTATCGTTTGAGCATATGTATAGGGTGTATCTTGTGTGCATATGAAGGGAGTTATTATTTTATTATTATTATTATATATTGTACACACTTATGAAATGAAAGTTTTTAAGTAATTATTAGTAGGCTAAAAGCGAGTTATTCTTTTGATGGCTGTAAAAACATTCTGAAAGCATAAAGAGAATTGCTCGGGGGAATCACGTCAGTTTTAACAATTATATAAATATATATTTGCAATTTAATCTATGATAAATCATAATTATTAATATAGCAAGTTATACTGCAATCAGGTGATGTGGTCCATCGGCTCGATAACCCTAATAATATTCTGTAATGTCTGCCATGCTGCGGTTTTCATATCTTGCAGTGTGCGCACGTTTAAGATTTGAATTAATTGTTAATAATAATATAAAAAGCCATTATTTAATTGCAAAAAGAAAACAAAAAAAAACAATGTATTTTATATTTATATTATCATGTGTGAGTATCATTGGTATAAAACACTGAACACCACAGCAAAAGCATATAAACGCCACAAAGCAAAGATTGTGGACTAAAAAGAAGTAATGAGACTAAATGTCTTATGTAAATACACACATATGTAGAATACATTCACTCATTCTTTCATTTTCTTTTTGGCTTAGTCCCTTTTTAATCAGGGGTCTCCACAGCGGAATGAATCGCCAACTTATCCAGCATATGCTCTTTATGGAGCAGATGCCCTTCCAGCTGCAACCCAACACTGGGAAACACCCATTACACTCTTGCATTCACACACAAACACTACGGCCAATTTTAGCTTATTCAATTCACCTATACCACATGTCTTGACGCAGACACAGGGAAAACATGCTAACTCCACACAGAAATCATGCTACCCACTGCACCAACTTGTGACCCACATATGTACATATGTACATTTATTAAATGTAGGTTCATGTATCTAGCTCTGAGGTCCCAATGTAGACCTGAACATGCCATCATCTGTTTAATTTGAACTTGGGGACATTATTTGTTATTTTGAAATACGTTATATATAAAGCGTCTCTAATTACAAAAGTTTTACTTCCATAAACCATTAAAAATACACACACACTCTGCAGCGTTACATAAACACATTCATCATCCTATCGTATCGCATCATGTCATCTTTAAAACACCCCCTCCAACTCAGTTTTATAGTAAAGCCGATGGGAGAGCTGTAATTGAATATCAGAGCACAAACACAGAGCACAACCTCAGAGACTTCAGCTGAATTCCACACCGATCCACTGTTGTGTTAACATTTGCAGCAATGGGCATAAAAACACACAAATGAACTTATGTGGCCTGCTGCTCACACACTTTAGCAAAGAAGGAAACACACACACACCTGATGGTTTATAACATAGCTTTTTAGTCAGTTTTTTTTTTTGGTGTGGCGGAAAAAGGAATGAAATGAAAGCTGAGATGAGAGAGAGTGTTATGAATCTATATCCAAAGTGGGTTTAGATTCAACAGACTTGAGTGAGTGCAGAGCATGCAGAGGGTTTTCAAGAGTTCCCACTTGGCTGATGAATGGTAATAAGCTCATGAGATCCTCGAGCCCGGGCTCCCTCCCGTTTGCAGGGCGAGAGGGAAGTTTGAGCTCAGGTAGATCTCGAGAACCCCCCTCCCTCCTGCTGCTTAAGGATTGCTATGAGGGTGTGTTGCTGATGGAATTTGACTATAGTGCTATTTGACTATAGTATTTGGTTTAGTCAGTTTACTTATGTCTTATGTTTTGGACTTTGGGAAGGAAATCGGAGGACCCGTGGAAAACCCTCGCGAGCACGGGAGAACATGAACTCCACACAGAAATGCCAGCTGGCCGGGTAGAGACACGAACCAGAGGCATTCTTGCTGTGAGGCCACAGTGCTAGCCACTGGGCCGCAGTGCTGCCCTATAGAGGAAAAAGAGGAGGAGAGGGGGTGGAAGGGGGGATTCTTCAAGACGAAGATGACTAAAAGTTAGATGCTTGGTTACTGAGTTAGGAATCATCTGATTGGTGGTTCATACATTGCTATTGACACGGCTGGCCCTGAGTCAAGCTAGTGTCTATTCAGCACTAATGCATTGCAGTCACTGGAGGATCCTGAGTTTGTGTCATGAAACTATTTGTCTGACAGATCAAAAATACAATTTATGTAAGAATTTTAGACTCTAAAGCCTGGAAAAATCTTTCGTTGCTTTAGGTAGCTTAAAACACAACAATGTAAATGCAGACCTTGTTTACACCTGACATTTAGATCACAAGTGGACGACATTAAATACTGTGGTAACAGGATGTAAAACATGTTGTGTGTGTCCACCTTCCACTGCGTTCAAAGTGTGCACTTCCAGTATTACACTCTAAATATATATTTGAAAAGAGTGTCAGTGTCTCTTTCACTCTCTTACATCACTTCTGCCATGGCTCTCTGGTGTGCTGCTATTCATAATTAACCTTCTTTGAATGAATTATATCAGGGCTTTTATATGCTTTATTTGATCAAACATACAAAACTCTAAAAATGTGAATTATTATCATACTTTAAAGTGTTTTAAAATGCTTTATATATATCATGAAATAGAATTGACCCTTTTGATTGTGAAGCTGAAATTTGAGCGGCTTTTACTCCAGCCTTCAGTACCACATAATACCCTTAGAAACCATACTAATATAATGATGCTCAAGAAGTATTTCTTATTATCATCATAATAAAAAAAACAGCTGTGCTGCTTAATGTTTTAAAAAATAAATTTTGGTGAACATCATTAAAAAATACATATATTCTCTGAAAACCTGTCAAATCTGATGAGTTTACAGTGTACTTGCTGTATGCATTTCAAACTATCAAATTCCCTGATTTTCCTCTGACTTTCACTGAATAAAAAAGCTGGATTTAAATTATCTAGGAGCACTGAGCAGATAAAAAGAAAATATATTGTAAGCATGTGTTGTCTGTTTTAATGTCAAAACTTCCCAAAAAAAGAGCTATATTTCTATATCGGTAAGTGATTATTTATGCCACCTAATACAGGTTACTGTTAAGACTAAAGTTTGTTTATTTATTTTTGTTGTGCATTGCATGTGTCTTTTTCTTTGTCCTGACTTCTTGTGTTGTTTTCTGTTACCCCATAGGCTCCCATTTTAAAATTTTTCAGGCTCTGATCGGCTGCTGGTCACAGAGATCTATAAAAGGGAACTTCCGGCAGAGTTCAGGGAGCTCATTTGTGATGGCACGGTTGCATAGAGTGGAGAGCTCCTGGATTTCCCTACCCCTTCGTCTGACAACCAACCGTTATTCTTGTACAAATGTCAATGTATGCTTGCAACTGTTTAAGCTTATAAGTGTGGCCTGCATATTTATTTGATTACTTTTGACTTCATGTTTAGGCAGGATGGTACGTAAGCTTCCTGTATTTTTCTTTAAAGATATACAGGTAATTTACTTTGCAGATTTTTTTGTTTGTTATTTTGGCCTGTGGTCACCCTGAAGAGATGCTCATTTAAATTGCTACTTTTCTTTTTCTATAATAAATATATTCAATTACTCTCAACTGAGTTTCCACATTTGGTTGTTGACCGAAGGGGATCTTTTGCATAAGAAGGGGGTTGGTCAAGTGCCTCCTGAGAGGGGCACCTCAGCCAATGAGGGCAGAGGGGCAGTTGCTCTAGACACCGGGCCACCCCCCTGTGCACGGCCCTGCATACTAGGTTTAACAGATTTGATACTCTGAACTTTGTAAGCGATGTACCCAAGTGATCTTGCCAGTATGTTTCAGATGGTCAGTAAATACTGTGAATTAATTTTGAGTTTACAATACATGTAGTGAAAATCTTAGTCACTTACATGAAGCCTTTAGCAGTCAGAATACATTTGGAGTCATGCTGACACAGGTTAAGCTCTGAAGCACAAAAATCCAGCTTATCTTCACACAGCTCCCCTGCACACACACACACACACACACACACATACATTATAAACAGACAGAAAGAGAGGAAGGCAAATGAATGAGCAAAGTAGTGTTTATTGTAGGAAAACATGAGTTGAATATTATTAAACCAGTAGGCTTGTGTGTCTGTGTGTGTGGGTGTGTGTGTGTGTGTGTGTGTGTGTGTGGGTAGTTTCTGATTAATCAGCTTACAGAGGGAAAAGACAAAATACCAATGCTCTAGGGAACAACAATTCAATACGGCTCTATTTACAGTCGAGGAGTAAGGTAAACATCAATGTATGTGTGCATTTCATACTTCAGCAAGACAGAGGAAGCACTAGCCAGAAACAGCAGAGGGAAAAGACAGACAATGGGAGCATGAAAGAGTAAACTAACCTTTCTCCACTTCATTATTATTAGCGGCTGGTAGAAAAAAGAGAAACAAGAAGCAAGGAAAGGAAACAAAGAAATACAGAGTATGCGTTTGGCACGTTAGCATGTTAGCTCAAGCATGTTAGCAACACATTTAAATCAAGCACAGAGAACACAGAGCATTTGGCATGTGACTGTGTGGGTATGCGTGCGTGTGTCTGTGCTGTGTGTGAGAGCGAGAGATTTACCTGTGTATTCAGGTGAGCAGAGACAGGTATAGTTGTTGATACCGTCCACGCATGTAGAGTTATTCTCACAGTCATTATCCTCACAGTCGTCAATGTTTATCTCACATTCATCACCCTCAAATCCTTCTGGACACACACACCTGAACATACACACAGGAAAACTTTATCTTGTTGTTAATGAATTTTCTTGTTGTTTTAAGCTGTAATTATTTGCTTTGATATTTCATTAATGCCTCTAGCAGTAATGTTCTAGAAACTGTGGTGCCCTTGATCACCATTATCAGCAAGTAATCAGAATTCGGTGAACACCTAATATACAATAATCCAAAAGAAAGATTGGTCAGTATCTGTATAACAAAACTGATTACTTTAGACACAGTGACACATTTCTATATATATATATATTGAATTGCTCAGAAAATGCTGTAATTTATTTTTTTATTGCTAAACATATTTTATAGCTGTTATACAACAGCAGATTTGGCACTTTCAGCTTACTTTTCATATGTTGCTGACATACCACGTTTAATTTGTCTATAGTTTAAAAATTTCTCATAGATGTCATTTTTGAGGAGCTGTTAAGTTTTTGTTTTGTTGAAATTGCATAAAATCTAAGGTTGTCTATAATACAGTGCATCCAAAAAGTTATTGTAGCGCTTCATTTTTACACATTTTTATTGTTGCAGCCTTATTCCAAAATGGATTAAATGAATTTATTTCCTCAAAATTCTACACACAATACCTCATAATGACAATGTGAAAAAATATATTTTTTCATTTTTGCTAATTTATTAAAAATAAAAAACCTGAAAAATCACATGTACAGAAGTATCCACAGCCTTTGCTCAATACTTTGTTGATGCACCTTTGGCAGCAATTACAGCCTCAAGTCTTTTTGAATATGATGCCACAAGCTTGGCACACCTGTCTTTGGGAATTTTTGTACCTCTTTTAGTACCTCTTTTATTTTGTACCTGATTTAGTACCTCTCAAGGTCTATCAGATTGGATGGGAAGCGACAGTGTACAGCCATTTTCAGATCTCTGCAGAGATGTTCAATAAGATTTAGGTCTGGGCTCTGTCTGGGCCACTCACGGACATTCACTGAGTTATCGTGAAGCCACTCCATTGATAATTTGGCGGTGTGCTTTGGGTCATTGTCCTGCTGGAAGATGAACCGTTGCCCCAGTCTGATGCACTCTGAAGCAGGTTTTCATTCAGGATGTCTCTGTACATTGCTGCATTCATCTTTTCCTCTATCCTGACTAGTCTTCCAGTTCCTGCTACTGAAAAACATCCCCTCAGCATTATGCTGCTGCCACCACCATGCTTCACTGTAGTATGGTATTAGCCTGGTGATGAGCGGTGCTTGGTTTTCTCCAAATGTAACTCCTGGCATTCACTCCAAATAGTTCAATTTTAGTCTCATCAAACCAGAGAATTGTTTCTTATGGTCTGAGAGTCCTTCAGATGCCTTTTGGCAAATTCCAGGCAGGGAGTGGCTTCCGTCTGTCCACTCTACCATACAGGCCTGATTGGTGGATTGCTGCACAGATGGTTGTCCTTCTGTAAGGTTCTCCTCTTTCCACAGAAGAACACTGGAGCTCAGACAAAGTGACCATCAGGTAATTTATCACCTCCCTGACTAAGGCCCTTTTCCCCGATCACTCAGCTTAGATGGCCGTCCAACTCCAGGAAGTGTCCTGGTGGTTCCAAACATCTTCCATTTACAGATGATGGTGGCCACTGTGCTCATTGGAACTTTCAGAGCAGCAGAATTTTTTTTGTACCCTTCCCCAGGCTTGTGCCGCGTGACAATCCTGTCTTGGATGTTTACAGGCAATTCCTTTGTCTTCATGCTTGGTTTGTGCTTTGACATGCACTGTCAACCCTGGGACCTTATGTAATCAGGTGTATGCCTTTTCAAATCATGTCCAGTCAATTGAATTTACCACAGGTGAACTCCAATCAAGCTGTTAAAATATCTCAAGAATAATCAGTGGAAACAGAATGTGCCTGAGCTCAATTTAAAGCTTCACGGCAAAGTCTGTGTATACTTATGTACATGTGATTTTTCAGGTTTTTTGTTTTTTAAAAATTTGCAACAATTTAAAATTTTTTTTTTTTCACAACGCCATTATGAGGTATTGTGTGTAGAATTTTGAGGGTTAAATACAACAAAGTATATGATGCTGAAGCAACTTTAGTTTTTGCTTTTTGTTTATGAATATAGCATTCTGCAGGTTTATCACCTTAGGATTTTTTTTATTTATTTTTGTGCTGCTGCTCTGACTTAAAAAAATTAGTGTTTAAAAATGATTTTTGTTAAAGATTTGTTATTTAGTTATGAGAATTAAAACTGAAGTTTTTAATCAGTGTATTCTCCATGCAGCACTGAAGTTGGGGCATTAATGGGAGCATTGAAAATGTTCTTTGGAAAAGCAACTCAAAAATGACTTTTAAGACTAACGCATTACTTTTTGGTGTAAGTACTGGATAAAGTAATTAAGTTACTATTTGAATGAAGAAACTAGTAATTGTAACTAGTTGCTATTTTTCAGTAACTAACACAACACTGCTCTTCAAGAAGACAGACTTCCCATGCTTTAGACTATTGTTAGATATCTTTTAGATCAGTGGTCACCAAACTTGTTCCTGGAGGGCCGGTGTCCAGCAGATTTCAGCTCCAACCCTAATCAAACACACCTGAACAAGCTAATCAAGGTCTTATTAGGTATACTTGAAACATCCAGGCAGGTGTGTTGAGGCAAGTTGGAACTAAACCCTGCAGGGACACCGGCCCTCCAGGACCGAGATTAGTGACCCCTGTTTTAGATAGTCAATAAAAGCTCAAATTTAGCCTTGTTTGGAGGGATTTAGCCAATATGTCTATGTTAGGATGTATATTAGAGGTCAGTTAAACACACACACATACACACACCAAATGGGTTCTGCGTCCTTACTTGTGCTGCCATTAAAATAGTTTTCCCAAATGGATACTGACAGCCAACAGTGCTGGAGTGGCAAAGTAATGATTAATTTTCCCTCACTGGCGTGACCAGTATTACTTACTGGTCAAAAGGTAAAATTGATCAAGTAAAAATTGACAGCCATTTGACCCTTTTTAAGTTTGTAATTCCTAGGATTTCATGTACTTTTCTGCAAACATTTGGCAGATCAGCATGAATTTATTTTTTTTTGTCTTTTTTCCAAGCTGTGGTTTATGTTGTGATTATATTTTCCTGTTGAGGAATGTGTTTGCTGAGATTTGCTTTAAGTGGGGGCATTACGGTGGAGCAGAGGGTTGCATGATTGCCTTACAGCAAGAAGGTCGCTGATTTGAGCTGGGTCAGTTGGCATTTTTGTGAAGTTTGCATGTTCTCCCTGTGTTGGCGTGGGTTTTCTTCCGGGTGCTCCAGTTTCCCCCACAGTCCAAAGACATGTGGTATAGGTGAATTGAGTAAGCTAAATTGGCCGTAGTGTATGTGTGTGAATGCAAGAGTGTATGGGTGTTTCCCAGTGTTGGGTTGCGCCTGGAAGGGCATCTGGTTCATAAAACGTTCATTCTGCTGTCGTGACCCCTAATCACTAAGCCGAAAAGAAAATGAATGAATGAATGAATGAATGTTTTAAGTGGTGTACGTCTGAGTGAATAGTATTTAATGAATCTTTTTTTAGATGAAGATGTGTTTTACAGCACAATATTGAATGTATGAGTGCATTTGAAGTTAGATTTTTAGTAATATTGATCCTTGCCTTTCAGAGGACCCTTATAAAACAGTTTAATCTTACATTTATTATTTATGATGTTTCACACTGAACATTTTCCGATACATTATCAGGGTACAAATTCATGCTTTTGCTCTTTGGAAAATTGATCTGTGAATGACTTACTTACGGTTGTCTCTGCATATTAAACTGAAAAGAATTGTATGCAATGTGTGTGCGTGTCTGTGAGTGTATTACATTACAGGGCCTAATCAACATGTAAAGCAGAAGTTCTCAAATGAAACTCTTCTTATTCACCAGCACAAAGAATTCATTAGCATTGATAAGTATATGACAGCAGCTGAACCTGAGCTCACCACACACACACGCACACACATGCACACACGTACAGAAAGGCCCTTGATTGGTTGATTAAGTGCATGAGTGAGCTCAGATCAGTTTCAGACACTACAGTCTGATTAAGACAGATTAGACACACTTTGTCCATAAAGTATATTTATTACCGGAGCAGCAGGGACACACACACAATGTTCTAAATGAAAGCCACATTCAGCAGAACCTGAATAACATAATATCTCTTTATGGGTCTCATATAAAAGTCATTTATATTTTGATAGAGTTCAGTGATTAAAGGTGCTGTATGTATGTTTTTAACTCTTCTGTAGCATAAAAATACCATAATATGTTTAGAGATATTCAAGAAACATGCCAAGTGAACATTCTTGCTTAACTGAAAAACAGTTATCCTCAGTTATTCTGCTTTTAAAATGGCCGTTCAGTGGCAGACACTGTCTTTGATTTGGTTATTTTAACCCGCCCACTGCCAGTTAAGCCAATTATATTCCAGCACCCTGGGTTGCCTAGGTGGAAAACCGCATATTTCATTGATTCATTCAGAATGGCTGTCAAAGCATGTACCCGTGACCAAAATGAGACCTCCGGTTGACAGTAGCGGACTCCGAAATGAGATGCAGATTCAGAGTTCAACATGAGCTTATTAATTAGCAAATAATATAAATACTATGAATGTAAACATTAGGTGAGCAGGTTACATTGTAACCCCATGTCCTAACAACACCGTAATGAGATTTGCAGTGATAAGCAATTTGGCTGTTTGTACCAGACGCAGCACGACAGAAATTTAAATGCAGCCATTCAGAAGCACAGAATATGCACTTACTCATAAAATGGTAACATTTATAATCTAATTAATGTATATTTAACCTCTTTTACATTATTAAATAAATCACTGATATGTGTTGGTTTTGAGTCTAAAGTTCTAAAGTTAATTTTCTAACAGTTTATTTATACTGAGGTGAATTGCTGCTGCTGCTTTATTTATACTGAGGTGAATTGCTGCTGCTGCTATCAGTAGTATGGCTATAAATGTTATGTAAAATGGCAATCAAACTCACATTATAAGCATTTAACACTAAATAAAGCACATGAGGTGTACCTGAGATGTAAATTATTCTGTTGTTCAACTGTGAGAAATAGAAGCCGTTTCTAATATCAATTCAATGTGTTGGTTAGAACAAAAACTCCTTTTAATATGGAAAAAATATTCCTTCTATCGCGGCCCGTTGATTTTATTAAGAACATGATTTAAATTAGCCTTTAGTCTTGAGACTTGCTCTTGTTAGTCGACAATCTGGCAAACTGCACTTGGCGTTTGTTTTTATCCAAGAATGAAATACCTAGTTCAACCACTGGGTGTCAAACTTACATACTGCACCTTTAATAATGATGATCAAGATCTTTCTCACCAGTGAGTGTTTTCCTCTCCATCCTTCAGATGACAGGTTCCTCCATTCTGACAGGGGTTACTGATGCATGCATGAATTGGTTCCTCACAGTCTTGACCCTGCATAAACAAACGCAGCATTACAAACAATTGCCTCATACTCGCTTATTCTCACAAGCAGATGTTTATTCAGCCTTCGCTCATTCAAAACCATCATATTTGAGTTTTTTTCTTTTGTACAACACAAAAGAAGTCATTTTGATGCTAGTTGATGATACCCAATGAAATATATAGTATTTATTTCTAGGGTGGAAGCCAATGATTATCTTCATCAGGTATGTTTTAAAATATTTTATATTTTGTTCAACAGCAGAAAGAAACTAGTGTAATGCTGAGCTCATTTTCATTTTTGGGTGAAATAACCGTTTGATTCAAGATAAAACTAGGTTTATATATTCATTCATTTTGCTTTGGTTTATTCCATTGGTTATCAGGGGTCACCACAGTGGAATGAGCCGTCAACTTATCCAGCATATGTTTTACGCAGCGGATGCCCTTCCAACTGCAACCTAGCACTGGAAAACATCCATACACTCTCATATTTACACACACACATACACTCACACACACACATACACTCACACACACACACACACACACACACACACACACACACACACACACACACACACACACACACACACACACACACACACACACACACACACACACACACACACACACACACACACACACACTACGGCCAATTTAGTTTACCTAATTAACCTATAGCACATGTCTTTGGACTGGGGGGGAAACCAGGGCACCCAGAGGAAACCAACACAAACACAGGGAGAACATGCAAACTCCACACAGAAACGCCAACTGGCTTAGGACTCAAACCAATGACCTTCTTGCTGAAAGACAACAGTGCCAACATTGCTAGGTTTATATATTCTAAATAGAAACCTCCCTTCAAAGTTACCATGTTCCATGTTTTGTGTAACATGTTTGCTTTCCAGTTGCTTAGGCTTTTTAGTGTACTTTTTTTGTCGTACAGCTATGTGTTTGCTATGGTGATATGGCTTGCTAGCATTGTTAGCAAGTGCAATCTCTGTGACACTCTGCTCACTAGACATGACTCATCCCAGAGACTTTAAATATATAAAGACGATTCACTTATTTGACTTATGAAAGGAATAAAGTGCGGTGCACAGTATGGTGGAATAATTCATGACTTCTAAATAAAATAGCCAAACGTCAGTTGGTAAAATCACTGTGTCACTGCAGTTGTCGTCAGAAGCTTATGTTACCATAGATGTTTTCCGAGGTGTGTTTTTAGGACTGCACATTCGCATTAGCAGGACCGGGTTGATATATTCGCTTTTAAAGGGGCTACATATAATATTCAGAAAGACTTGTTATTAGCGTCACTAACTATGCTCATTAACATTGACTGCAGCAACTTAATGCTCAAGCACATAACAAGTGTGGGTGTGATTCAAAGCCTGTATATACTTACGACAAATTTCTTTTTCATTCTGTTATTAGAAGTAAAAGGAAGTTAGAAATACCACTGCTGTGATATATTAACACCCAAATGCTGCTGACTCTCAGCGGTGTTTAGATAAATATGCAAACACAATATGTGCTGCATTCCATCATCTCAATAATAAAATAAACAAACAGCCAAAATGACAGCGATGTAAACGCAGCAGTAAAGAAATCATCTACGAATGTGTTTGCACAAGCTCTGCACTTCACAGACGTGATGTTGATAGATGAGGAAATGTGACAGTTTGATTTTAAAGTATATTTGAGACTGCAGAATCCATGCGTGTAGATCTGTTTAATACTATAATTTCTTTGAATTGATTTCATGACATACTGAGAACATTATAAAAACATTTGTCTTATGCATCATAAAAAAAGAGTCAATGCCACATCTGCTTTTCCAGCAAAAAATTCCGACTCTTTCACCTTTGTGCACTGTTTAAACTACCATTTTGTTATAACATGGATGAAAACACACAAAATGACGTATTTTCAATATAAAAAGTAACTGTGGACTGGATTTTTTTGGACCTTTTATCACGTCTTGGACGTGTGAAAGATCAGTAACAACATTAAATTCAAATCAGTTTCATTTATTTGTAAACCAGGTTGAACACTGGCTCTGGTGCATTGTTCGATTTTTCTTTTTTCTCCTTAATTTACTGTTGGTGGCTGTTTTTGCCCAATTGACTTCCATAATAACCACATTTGATGGTGCATAAATACAGTCTTTGTTTATATTTAATGTAGTTCTGAGAGCTGAGATGCATATTCTGACTTTCTCAGACATAGCAAGGTAAGTGTGTAAAGGTCACTCTTACACTTTTACCGACACACACATATACACACTTTAATTTGCTGTTTTCCTCCATATAAAATCAAATAAAATATATATATATATATATTTTGTACAGGCCTATCTAAAGGGTTAATGGTGCTTGTTGATGATCAACAGTAAAAATTACAAATTTTACCTTCTCCAAACAGGGAAAATCACCAACAATGAAGAATGTATGACTATATGGTGTCATGGTTTTGTAATAAAAAAAATGTGGTAATGATGGAAGTCAATGGGGCAAAAAGAGCCAGCAACAGTAAATTAGAGAGGAAAAAAATTTAAATTCATATAAAATAATGCATCAAAGCCAATTTTGTTTCAAAACTTTGATAAAACCTCAAAAAAATCCAGTTCACAATTACTTTTTATATTGAAAATACGTCATTTTCTGTCTCTGTGTGTGCATTTTTTACCAAATCAGTGACATCTTTTGTGAACTTGGCAATTAAAGAGTTAAAAATCTGTAATTTTCTAAACAGTTTAGTAGTTTTAATCTGGACTATGGTTGATTAACAGATTTATGCAGAAAAATGAAAAAAAAAAAAGTATCTGATGCATTTTTACAGCAGTTTAATTTAGTGGATGTTTTCATCCTTAACATAACAAAGTAGTACAGTAAATGTGCCCAAATGTGCTAGTAAATGTGCCCAGAGTTTATTGTTGAGTTTAACAATAATTGAGTTTAAGTAAAATTACAAAGCGTTTTTTTTTTTAAATGTGTCAAAATAAGATTTGTCACCAAAAATCATTCTGCTAGCAGAAACATACAAAAAAGTTATGGCTAAATTAAGGCACAAAATCACCCCAGAGTGGGTGAAAACATCCCAAACAGTACATAAGGGTTAACATAAAAAGCTGACTCCATGCTTTGGTCACATTTAAGCAATACATTTTAAGCAATAAACTTTATGAAAGAGTTCATGTCCGATTTTGTTGTTGATTTTTGTTGCTTTTTAAGCATGATAAGGAGATTTTAGTATTTCTCCATTCAAATATATAAAGTAGGACATGGTCTTAGATGGCCAAAATAGCTGCCTGAAAGTGATGCAAATATGTCCACCGAATAAATAGAATTTCTTCAGAATTCTTTTTTTTTTATTTATTTACTGCCTGCCAGGTGGAATGTCTAATTATTCAAAATATATATATATTATTACCCCTATTTCAAACAACACAGTTTCATCTTGGACAGTTGTAGTACAATTGGTACAAGTCAAATTGTGTATCTAAAATTTAGTAAGACTACTGATAGGATGTTCTTTCCTGATTAAATGTGTATGTACAGTACCTTAAAACCATACGGGCAGGTGCATCTGTAAAAATCTACAGGATGGTTACTGCAGGTCCCATCATTCTTGCAGGGATTGGACAAGCAAGGGTTACATTTAGCCAAAATGCTTACATCCACTGGACCTAAGAGAAATGCAGAGAGAAAAGGAAATTACACAGCATGTTATGCACGCAAACAGAAATTTAACAAATGTTCACAGGCTCACAAACACACATAGGATTGATCAGGTAAGGCATCACACAAATTATTCACAATTAAACACAGGTCAAAAGGTCACTTTAAAACCGGGAAAAGTTTAGAAGGCAGATACGGGTGTGGGGCTATAGGAGCTCTCTGGGCTCTGATTGGCTTCCTTACCTGGCACAGGAAAACCACAAGTCCCCGGCACCTCTACAAATGCACCAATCATATCATATTACTTACGATATTACCATCTGCATATATAAGCTAGTGTTAGAGTTAATGTTAATGCCCTCTCTGTGACAGGATAAATGTGTCTTAAGTGGGTTTTTTATACCTGTGCATGTGAATTTCTTAGAGGGTGTAGTGAGCAGCAGTTTGTCAGTCATGTCTCCAGGACCGGTACAGCGGGCGATGCCAGGCTCCTTGTATCCACTCTTTACCCAGTCAGAGAGCCACTGCATGTGACAGTCACAGTACAGGGGGTTTGCGCCCAGAGCCCTGCATAAAACACACACACAAAAACAACCAATTACAAATCAAGTAATGCAGTGTCTTCTGCAAAAACTAAATGTTAAAAATAAAAATAAAAAAGACATCACACTTTTTTTTCTGTTTTGTTACATCATTTGATGTTACTTTTTTTGTACAAATTATTTTGGCTTTGTGTCCCCACCAAAAGTACACACATCCTTTACTCAAGTCGAAGTACAGATTCTCATGTTTTAAAGAATCTGGTAAAAGTTGAAGTACTGACTACACTTTTGTACTCTAGAAAAAGTAAAGAAGTACAGCCTGAAAAAATAAAAAGTAACCATTACTACTACATGCTTTAGTTTCACTAGATTACCCCCACATTCCAAAGATATGCAGTATGGGTGAATATATAAACTAAACTGGCTATAGTATATGAGTGTATGAGAGCAAACATTTTTATGTAAAATTTTTTGAAAGTAGTCAAGCATCATCGCACCCTGTAATATTGCCCAACAACATTGCTCAAAGTCAGCCCATGTATCGAGCCCATTATGGTTACTTTTGTTGTTGTAAAGCATTTGTTAAAAAAAACTAATTGAAGACAACAGTAGGCCTATTTGTAAAATATATATTCAATAAAAAACTGAAAAAAGCATAAATCCTGTATTAAAAAATATATAAACTCATCTGAAATAAAATAAATAAATCTTAATGTATAAAGTTTTTATAAAGTATTTGATTGTTTTAGTACTAAATGTACAAATCTATAAAAAAAGCACTTTTTTTTCGCAGTATTAGATTAAAAGAGCAGAGAAATCCAGTGCAGTATGATCAGAAGTAAACAATTGACTCTAAGCACTTAAATGGCATATTTTTGAACTGGAATGTGTTTACCTTGTTTACCTGTGATCTGATTGAGCAAAATGTGTCCCATGTAAACTATTAAAACATATTACCGGCAACATCAGTCATGTTAAATTCGCAGACTCCCTCTGTCTAATCTGCGTAGTCATTTTTGCCTTACTCGTAGTAATCTTCATAAACTAGGCTACATAAGGTGTTTGACAGCTTTGGTTAAAAATGACAAAAAAAATTGATTGATTGCATTAAAAAGGCGTTCAAATTGTGCCATAAAACACATGAAAAAGAAAGTATTAACTGTGGTTTAAAAATGTATGGAGTAGAAAGTACAGATGTTTGTGTAAAAATGTAAAGAAGTAAAAGTAAAAAGATTTTAGTCTAGATTTATGTCTAATTTATTTCTAACCATATATTTGTAGTAAATTTCTGTCAATTCCAGCAGATTTTTTATTATCTCATTGGTTCATTTTTTTATGTTTGCTCATTTCTCTTTAGCAATACCATCCAGCAGAGACATCAGAGAATTCATTTTTATAGAAAGCTATCACGCTTCAGATCATTGAGCATGAGTTTGGCAGGGGGCTGTTCCTCCATGCTGCTCTGGTTGGCTGATTGCCCTGTTAATGCGATAATGTCTACCTATCACATTCACAGTCCACAAATCATCCTGAAAGTACCAAACGTGTGCAAAGTTTATAACTCACACACCTGGATATTACTACTTTTTCTTTGTCAAGTTCAAAACAAAAATGCTTGTTTCTGCACTCTAATATTTAATATTTTACAAATGTACATATATGATGTGACTTTGATGTGTTTTTTCTTTTAAATTATTGCAATATTGCTTACTTGACAGTCTCTGGTGTAAAGTAATGTGTATTTTTTTTTCGACTTGGCTGTCAGTCATAATTACACTTGTGAAACCGATCTATGGGAATGACAAAAAAAGGTCAACATAAGAGACCAAGAACTCAACCAATCTGTGTCTGCAAAACCCCAGGTTCAGACAAAGAAAATGTTTCAGTGTGCTTGTGTGAGAGAGAAAGAAAGAACCAAAGTGCATCCAGCTGTCAAAACCTATTTGGGACACTTCATAAGTGCTTTGTGTGTGAGAGAGTGTGTGTGTGAGTGTGTGTTCTGAGGTGCTTACAGGTGAGAGAGTGAGGACAGATCTTTGAAAGCTCCATCTGGGATCACAGCAATATCATTACCATGGAGAGACCTGCAGAGAGAAGAAAGAAATGAAGCTATCCAAGAGAATTCAAAACACATAAATCAAAGTCTAATAGCAAACACACACACACACACACACACACACACACACACACACACACACACACACACACACACACACACGCACACGCACACGCACACGCATGCTAGTAAGGTACTCACAACAAGCGCAGAGACTTGAGGCCGTCGAACGCTTTTGCAGGAATACACCTTAATCTGTTGTAGCTTAAAATTCTGACATAAAACAAGATATTACAATACAGTTACAATACAGACAATTAAGTTATTATCTTTAATAATTTATTTAAATGTGCTGTATGTAAACTTTTTATTTTTCTAACGCATAATAATACCATCTTATGTTTGCAGATATTTGAGAAACATGTTAAGTGAACATTCTTGCTTTTCTAAAAAACAATGCTGAAGTTAAAAATTCTGCTTTGAAAATGGGTTTGATGTGCCAGAATGCTGTCTTTGTTTTGGTTCTTTTAACCCGATGCCACTTTAGCCAATTATATTCCAGCACTCAGGTTGCTTTGGTGAAAAAAAACACATATTTCATTCATTTATTCAGAATGGCTGTCAAAGCATGCGTACGTTGCTATTTTAAGAAACTAAATTAGACTGCACAAAAGACCAGCTGAGAGAAGGTCTAAAGTCCAGTGTAGAGTGTGTAAGTTGTACATTGCTTAATTAAACAAAGAATGTACAGCAATACACAAATATCTTTACAAATGAAAAAGAATTAAATTAATAAAATATTAAAAATATATATTATTTTCTACATAAATATAAAAACCACTGCCTTCATGCCTTTTTCATCTCAGGAGGTTTTTTTAGTTTATTCATTACAATTGCCTTTGGTATAATGTTATTATTATTCTTGGTGTTACTTTTTATATGCATATTTATATTTGTTGTTATTAAAAACAAGCTTAGATTTGCCTACCTGTCAGGTTTTAGAACATATATGGCATAGCATGTGTATTTGGATATAACTCAGGTGTTTGAGCACACTTCGTTATTATTGTTTATTTATTCGTTTGCTGGTAATTAGAACTGAAGTAAGAAATAGCTTTGAAATAAATCTTTGTGCTTAAAATAAATTAATTATGTAGGCTAATGGATGTCTGTGCGTACAACACGTTTCCTTATCCACGAAAGAGAGTGAAAGTGAAAGTAAAGAATGAGGAGGCTCATTCTCTCATTCTCGCACTGCAGATGATCTGTTTAACTGTTTTCTCGCTAGCGAAGCATTCAGTTTTTCCACTTACAAAGTCTACCAAGTAAATAGCAAATGTGCCATAGCACGATGCAAATGACTCTTAAAGGTAATGGGAGATGAGACTCTGATTGGTTAATTCACAAAACACACCTATAACTCATTAAGAGAATAAGCTCAAACATGTTAGCCCTGTTCTTTGCACTTTGAGCCTAGATTGTTAAAATAGAGCCCTAAGTGAGCAAGTATTTCCATAGGTGGATAATGCACCTATATTTGCATATACACAGATAAACATTTAGTTTCAAGAAATCTGAAGTTGATTTTGCACACACACAATGCACAGCTAAAGACACACACAACTACAATAGTGTTTGCACAAAAAACAAAGACACATCAATCTGAAGCCTTAGATCGCATTGACACTCACAGTGTGAGCAGCTCGGACATGTTACTGAAGCTGTGGTTGGACAATGTGCTGATCTGGTTATTACTCAAATCACTGCAAGAAAACACACAAACACACACGCGCGCGCACACACAAACAAACAAAGGCAGAGTGTTATGAGCCACAAGAAATCAAACACTCAAAGCCAACATTTATGGTACATGGCAATAACACTGCATAAACATAATAACACAATAACATTGCACGGCATTAAAAGCACAAGATTCTTTGGAGCTTTCCATTAACATTACATGTCATTAAAAGCACAAGATTCTTTGGAGCTTTCCATTAACTGTTTCACTCGCCCCAACAAAGCCATGACCACAGTTTCTGGAAAAAATATGGTTAAATATTTAACTTAAATGAGCATAAACTGCAAAAAAAAAAAAAACATAAATAAATAAAATGGCCAATGTTAAACATACTCGGATGACTGAATGTAATAATGCAATGACTGTTATATCTTTTAAAACACAAAACATGTACAATAGTTATGTGTTAGGCTTATAGTCAAAATGCAACATACATTCAACAGCAACACAAGCATTCCACATGCTAGAAGCATTGAATCACTTGAACGGACATTTCTCTTTAGATCTGATGTAAAAGTCTAGTTTATATACAGTCATGAAAATAACAGAATATTAAAAAAGAAATGAACTTACAGGACCAAAAATTCCAAATATTCTGATAGTTCATGTGTAACTGCTTTATAGTAATGTGACAAAAAAGAGATTAATTTAACTCACAGTCTAAATTTGCTATATTTGTTAATTAGAATTTTGTTTATTTGCTCTGTTTAGTAGAGATGGAATATGCTGCCATAGTGCAGAAAAAAAGATGAAAAGCCAAAACAGCATTTGGCAATGGCTGGATGAGAAAATAAATCATCATATACGGAATACAGATTACTCAAAAAGACTTTAAAGGGGCTGAACCGATATAACTGTAACGACTAGAGATTGGCTGATTCCAAAGTGGGCAGTACCTACATGAGAGTGAGGTGTTTATAATTGGATAGTTCCAGAGGGACTTGTGTGAACTCGTTGCCATCGAGATAGCTATCAGAAAAAAGACAAACAAGTTATTACTCAAACACAGAGGAAATAGCACATTAGCAAGAGTGTAATGGGAGAAACTTCAAAGACGTATATATAGCAGTCATGTATTGTTTCAGACGTCAAGTATGTGTTTTTGGTGCAGCTGCGCTTATAAAAAGGCGTGCTTGGATCAGATACGGGGATTTTTGAAAATGGCCATTTATTATAAAATTGCTTGTGGTTTGTGTACACTCACAGCTCTGTAACGTCTCTAGGAATGCCCTTAGGCAAAACCTTGAGTCCTTTATTACTGCAACGAACCACTGTATCCAAACACGAACACTCGGCAGGACAGCGAGCCAGTGGTGAACAGCTATTCTCATCGTTACCTGCACACACACAAAGAGGAAATTAATCATCGTGTTAATGTTCTCATATATCAGAAGCCGAGAAGAGTGAAATTTGAAGTGAGTTTTTTGATATGCCCATGGTGATTATTATTGTTAGCTTGCAGGAGTTTATGCAAAGGAAAGATAACATTGATCTACGCTTGAGTTAACATAACAGATCTTATCAAAGACCTATTAAGAGCTAGAAACAAGATCTTCTTACGCACACACATACATATTTAACTCTCCCACACACACATATTGCCGTACCTTCTTCACAGGCAAAGTCTTGTACAGCTACATCTTGAATAGGGATCTCCTTGAGAAAGTAGGGGCTCTGACAGCGGGGGTTGCCTGTGACAATCCGTTTCTTGCGGAGCCATTCACCAAGCCAGGCCAGATGGCAGTTACAGTTAAACGGATTGGCCAACAAGTTCCTGTGGACAGCATAAGGTAAAATAATGAAGCAAATATTTGGCAAATTATACAAACAAATCCACTGTAAGCACTAAATGCAGTGGCTGGCATCACAGTGACGCAGTAAGTAGCATGATTGCCTCACAGCAAGAAGGTCGCTGGTTCGAGCCATGGCTGGGTCAGTTGGCATTTCTGTGTGGTGTTTGCATGTTCTCCCCTGTTCATATGGGTTTCCTCTGGATCTTCCCCACAGTCCAAAGACATGCGCTATAGCTGAATTAAATAAGCTTAATTGGCCGTAGTGTGTGAATGCAAGAATCTATGTTTTTTTTCCAGTGTTGGGTTGCATCTGGAAGGGCATCCACTGCGTAAAACATATGCTGAATAAGTTGGTGGTTCATTTCGCTGTGGCGATCCCTGATTAATAAAGGGACTAAGCCGATAAGAAAATAAATGAAATGCTGTGGCCTATGGAGGCAGGATATTGTAGGCAGACTGTCATTTTGAAAAGTGTACAGTTCATTCATTCATTCATTTTCTTGTCCCCTTAGTCCATTTATTAATCCGGGGTCGCCAAGAGCGGAATGAAACACCAACTTTTCCAGCATGTTTTCACACAGCTGATGCCCTTTCAGCCGCAACCCATCTCTGGGAAACATTCACACACATACACTCATACATTATGGACAATTTAGTCTACTGTACCGCATGTTTTTGGACTGTGGGGAAAAACCATGCAAATGCAGGGAGAACATGCAAACACCACACAGAAATGCCAACTGAACCGAGGTTCGAACCAGCGACCTTCTTTCTGTGAGGCGACAGCACTACCTATTGGGCCACTGTGTCGCCTAAAAGTGTACAATATCAATGTTAAAAAACAATGTTATTTGTGATTTTTTATTTTTATTTTAAATCAATTCTGATTTTAAATAACTAAAAAGTTCATGATATTATGCTAATAGATGGGTGTTCTATGCATTTTTCAAACTGCATAGAATGAAAATCTATTACAGCCACAATTAAACGGACCGTTTACCCAAAACTGAAATGAATGTCATCGTTTACTCATTAACTTGTCACAGAACTGTTTAAGTTTCTTTCTAATAGTGAACACAAAAGATGTTTGAAAAAAATGCTGAAAACCTGTCACATATTTGCTTTCCTACCATGGAAATCAATGGTTAGAGGTTTCATTTGTCAACATGTGTGTGAATAAAACGTTTACAACATTTTCAAATAACTTATTTTCTTTTGTTATATAACTCATAAAGATTTAAAACAACCTAAGGGTGAATAAATAATGAGTAAATTTAAATTGTGGGTGAACTATTCCTTTACAGACTTTGTTATCATTTAATAACAACACATAATTAAATTTAAACAAAATCATTGCAAACAATAATTTGGTTTGTTTTATGTTGTGAGAATTTAAAGCATATTTTAAAGTGAATTGTGGAAAATCTGGTAAACCCATTTGGAATACCATTAGGCTCATGATTTTTTATCATGAACAGTACATCACCATAATCAGATGTGTCCTTAATTGCTGAAAAGACAGAAGAGTAAATATTTACATATTCATATAAAAATTCAAGAGTTCACCCTTAAATATTGCTTGATGATGTTCAGGAGAGAACCCTGAGCTTGGAGATAATTGAGCCCAAGGCTCCCGTCTGGTTATTGAGCATGTAAGGGGGTACGAGATCAGGTAGTTCTATAGAACTCCCCCAATTCGTTTGGCCTATTCCTAAATTAACAAGGGCAGCCCTAGAGAAATAGCCAACCGCACCAGAGTATAGCCACATGGTGAAGCTGAGTACTAACTTCCCATTCACACGAGGCTTCAGCATCAACACTTGACTGAAGGCGTGTCTGAAGTTGAGGCTGACGCGATCATCATAGCAGCGTCATCCAATGAAATTCATTCAGTAATAGGCCACTGTCTAGCTGGTGTTTTTGCATACAGAGATCTGATTGGCTGACGCTTCCGTCAGTGCTTGAAAAGTTGAGCTAGTCTCAACTTCTGCAGCGAGCAACGCCTCTGAAGTGTCGCCGACGGATCCACAATGCAGTTTGGCAACGCCTGACGTCACCCATTCATAGTGAATGGGAAGCGTTGACGCTGACACCCCGTGTGAATGAGGCGTAAATACTTCTAAATGTTACTATTTATTTATTTAATTAACTTATGCGTGTTTTTGGATTGTGGGAGGAAACCGGAGTACCCGAGGAAACCCCACGCGAACAAGGGGAGAGCATGTAAACTCCACACAGAAATGCCGACTGACTCAGCTGGGACTTGAACCAGCGACCTTCTTGCTGTGAGGCAATGGTGCTAGCCACTGAGCCGCCGTGTCAATCAATTCTGGACTAATCTAGAAAAGAGGAGGAGGGAGATATGGTGGATGGAGGGGTTCTTCAAAAAACGAACATAAGGAAGTAAAGTTAAACAGGATATTTATGTTGAGTTTGGGATGATTCGATTGGCTTGGTAATGAATACAGATGGGGGACCAGCCACAATCAATCCTATCACGTGCTCCTCTCGAAACTTGTTTGTGAAACTTCACTAAACTCTTAGCAGCACGGCTGGCATTGGGATATTCAATAATACAAAAAATATATATCCTACTGTACAAGAATAACAGAAAACAAAACACTTCGTAAAAAAAGAGGATTTTATTTTGTGTTGTTGTTGTTGCTGTGGTTTCGTTCTTTGTTAAAGGCTAGGATATGCCCTCACAGTCACCTATTTAGGTAGCAACAGTGCTGAAACAAAACAAAACACTTTGTTGATAATGTGGTACTCACAATGTGGAGAGCGAATGTAGTGTGTCAAAGGCTCCTGGGGACATGGAGGTGATCAGGTTATCATAGAGGGAAAGCAACCTCACAGAGCTCAGACCGGTAAAACTGCCGTTATTGACACAGCTTATCCTGTTACTCCTCAACATCCTACATGTGACAAACAGAGACCCATGATAGATTTTTAAACAACCAGATGCCAAAAACTGCAAATGAGATTGGAACACACAAACCAATGTACCACCACACAGAATACAATCATACTTGGATTTTTGTTTTATTCAACATCGTGCACGTCTCTAGATTTTGCTGTGATCTTTCATAAGATAATTCTTCCTTGTGATTCAATTAGGAGATAATATTTACTTGTATGGTTCAATCGAGTGTGCCAACATGTGATACTCACAGTGTGCGGAGACCACCGAGGCCTTTCAGCATGCTGTAGTGAACCCCCTCCAAGCGATTGCTGGTCAGTATGAGTTCATTTACTCCACTGGCCCCTTCAAATGTGCCTTCTTCGATATCTGTGATCTTATTGTTGCTAAGATTGCTGTAAAACAAACAAAAAAATAGGCATAGCAGTTAAGGTTCTGTCATAAGTATTACTTATAATGATAGATTAAAATGACAGAGCAAAACTTACATTTTGCGCAACTGAGGAAGCTTCTTGAAGATTCCTGTAGCCTCCAGCACTGTGAATTCATTATTATTCAAGCGGCTGCAGGGGGGATTGGGATTAAAAAACAAAGCATGCTAGTAAATTTATTGATAAATTATCTATTTTAACATCTAATGCAAAATTTAACACAACATCTTTATTTGGAATTTTTGAGCAGATTTAAACATAACTGTATTATTTTTTTCCACTTTTTCAACAAAAATATAGTGCTTTAAGGTACAGCATGATTATATGTAATTTTAAAGGGGTCATTTACCCAATCATTTACATTAATAAATTATTCACCATACCATTTTTTTTTTTTTTTGATGCAACTTGAGATAAATTAGATTTTTTTTAATATGATGAACAGGTTTCAGTTAGGCATTAGTCAACAAACATAGATAGAGAACCCCTATTTGTGGTTTACTGTAATTTGCTTGATGCTCAAGCCTAAATCTCATTAACTTTATTTAACAATATTTTATAAACATTTTCAGGCAGAATTGTTTTTTGAAACATCTTTATTTGAGAGCCTGGAGCCTGGATTTATGTTGAAAAAGTACTTTATAATTTTGCAAATAGTCAAGAATCCATTGTATAGGTCAAAAAATTTATTGTAAATTTCCTACTGTAAATATATAAAAACTACCATGTTGATACTAATGTGCAGTGTTAAGAACTTAATTTGAACATATTTAAAGGCAATTCTTAACATTTTTACATTTGTTAATCCTTAGATTCCACAATTTCACATATTGTCACCTTAGAATTATAGGGTTCTATCTGACATTTTTGTCAAAATTGAGTTATTGACGTACTCTTGTTAAATGACAAATTATTTGCATTACGGGATGTTTTTTTTTAATATGTTGTTTACATTAAAACTTTAAAAAAGAATAATAATAATAATTTAACCACATACTGTTTGCTATGGAATGCAAAAACTTTAAAGCTCAATATCTCAAAATCATTCAGAACAGAGGAAAAACCTTATAATTCCAAGGTGTTTATATATATATATATATATATATATATATATATATATATATATATATATGTATTATCTCAGCCAAACATTGCCCAATCCTAACAAAGTATGCATCCATAGATATATACACTAGATATCGCATACGAACCCTGAGCATGCATTAATACCGTCACCTTATTTGTACAGTGCTCCCAGGACAAAAGTCATTCAGCCATACTAGTCAAGACTGAAGCCAATCTAAAGATGCTGAACTTCTGCGCTGCATACGGGTGTAGTAACAAGCAAACAAAGAAAACATTCGTAAGATTTCGTTTTTTACATTTTTGTATGTTACATTTGTTCCAAACAAGTAACGTTATTAATAATAATAAAGTCACTCATTGCACTGACCATAAGGCTAAGTAGCACCCACTTGCACTTAATTCTAGGCTAATGCTAGCTTTGTTGAATAAAATTAGCAAACAATGTAAATGAAATATGGCAAGACGCTGCAGTGCCAGAAACTTTTATTATTGTTGGTTAATTGAAGCAACGGCTAACATAACAGTGCCTGCATTAAATGTGCATACGGTTCATCCTAAATTATTGAATATTACAAATTTCAAACACCATTTAGATCACAGGTGTCAAATCCAGTTCTTGGAGGGCCGCAGCTCTACACAGTTGAGTTGCTTTAACATACTTACCTGTAGGTTTCAAACAAGCCTGAAGGACTCAATTAGTTTGATCAGCTGTGTTAATTAGGGTTGAAGCTAAACTGTGCAGAGCTGCGTCTCTCCAGGAACTGGATTTGACACCTGTGATTTAGATCATAAAGGTGGATATTATGCACATTAAGATGCAAGGAAATCAATGGTTCATACAAGTCGTTCATAAAAAAAATTCATTCTCAAACGAATCGCTCCCTCCGTTAGAATAAGAAGTGAAAGCAGGGGGGTGGGGGTTAGGGTGGGGTTCAGGACATGGATTAGATCAAATTGAGCATGGAGGGTGGGTAATTCATTTCCATGCACACAAACACATGCTCTTTGTCAGCAATGCTCATGCGATCACTTATCCATCAATATAGAAAAGTGATGTCAAATTATAATTTTCATAATTAAAAACGATAGATATATGTGTATATGTATATCTATGCATGATATATCTGTGCCACCGGATGGCCAGTCCTCTACTGTACCCTGGTCCCACATTCAAAGGAGCACTAATGGCAGCTCTATTGATGCATTCTTTCCAATAGAAAACAACAGCGTAGGCAACAACTAATGTTAATACCTATGGTAGCACCAATAGGAGTTTATTTATATTTCATGTGATGCATAATTCTCTATTCCAATATTCCATATTTTTTTTTGTCCAGGGAGGAATGATATGAAAGAGAAACACTCACAGTTCTGCTGTATACTGAGGGATGTGGTCTGGGATCTTGGTGAGCTTTTGTCCAGAGCAGTCCACTGTGGTTCCTTCACATCGACATTTCTCTGGACAGGCCAAATCAGCAAAGCAATCCCCACCTAGTTTTGAGCGGTAGTCTTCTACGCCTATTTATAATACCACACCCACACACCCACACCCACACCCACACACACACACACACACACACACACACACACACACACACACACACACACACACACACACACACTATTACATTCCACACAATCATGAAAATAAACTGTATGAGACAAACAGAGGGCAAAGAGAGATGGAAAGGTAGATAGGTAAAAGTAAAGGATCATTGGGCGGGACGACATTAAAGGTTAATTGTGCTAGACCAGAGGAAACTCAGTTATCACCATGGCAACATCTCATTCTTAACAATCCACAAAGCCATGCTGACATACCAGCTATGACTTTGGGGTGATATGTAAACACACACACACACACACACACACACACACACACACACGCACACACACACACACACACACACACATAAACACAACATAAAGTAAGACAAGGACAGTAGACACAAATCTGCGCAAACAATGACAATAAAACGTTCACACACTAACAGACACATGCACACACACACACACACACACACACACACACACACACACACACACACAGGTTGTCTCTTGTTGCTTGCCATGCTGTAGATGCTGCAAGACCTTCCATGGTGCTTGACAGAACCATGTATTAGTCTGAGTCTGCAACCACATGGTTAGATCAAGCACAAAGGAAAACCCCGCTGAATTTCCTCCACAAGACACAGAGAAAAGGAAAGACCAAAGATAGAGAGAATGAGATACTAATTTGTTTAGCTGGGGTAAACTAGTTGAAATGACAGAGAGAGGAAAGATGCCAAAACAAAACAAGAGAAAGGCGGAAAAATTGTGGCAGGAACATTGCAGTATAGAAATAGATGAAGCAGAGATTATACAAACAGTCAAACAAACACATACACATACAGTTCACATCATGTGCTAAAATCTCATTTTCACATCTGCATGAACCCTGTGATTGGGTTCCTGGTCTGTGATAGGCTGGGGTTGAGGTTGAGGGGGAGGGGCTTGCTGGGTGACGTCTTATTGTTTTTGTTTTTTTTGGTCAGTTACTTACACTTATTGATATGATGAATCCCTGAGTGTGTGTGCGGGAAGGGAAGAGAGAGAATATGTAATACACTCAAATATTTAAACCCTCACACAGGGGAATGCTGGAAAAACCAGGTTTTAGATTCATGCCAAGTGTGTAGTTTTGTGAGCATGCACAAAACAACGTCAGGTGGGTTAAGCTTTCACAACAAATTGCTGAGGTGACATTTGTATAACTTTATGTGTTAGCTCATCTAACAACTTACCGTAAAAACTGCTTTTCCATTATAGTATCAGGTCAATTTTATCCCCCTAATATTTACATTATCAAAATAACTAAATATATAACATTGTATGGGTCAAAACTATAGCGTTTTCTTTTATGGCATAAAATTATTAGAATAGTAAATAAAAATCATGTTTCATGTAAATATGGCGCAAAATTGCTACTATATATATATATATATATATATATATATATATATATATATATATATATATATATATATATATATTTAAAGAAACTTAAAAAAAAAGACTTTTAAGTAGCTGTATCTTGAGCAAATAATGTCTTACTGTGACAAACCATTAATCAAAGGAAAGCTTACTGTATTTATTTTGCGTTAGGGTAAAGCATAAAGCTCTATTTAAAAAACAAAACAAAAAAAAAAACACTTATGTCTAATGTTGTAATTAAAGGTCACATATATGAATGTAATTTTTTATATAAATCATTATTCTGAAAAATAAATGTATGAAAAATATAAATAAATTCAATTATTTCACTTAACTGACCCAAAGGCTACACAAGAACACAGCACCACTGTAAGCAGCTTTTCTCCACAAATACAGAAGAAATCATAGAGCAACACACTTCTGAACGTCAAGCAGTGTATTTCTACAGCAAACTGGTGTACAAACTGCTTTTTTTCATCTGTATGATACTGCGTGTGTGTGATTTGCGTGCATAAGCGTAGTTGTTCAAAACCTTTAGTGCAGTACACACAGAGACAAAATGTTAAGCAGTTCAACATACCTGGTATAAAATATTGCTCTTTAGCTATACAAAGAGAGACACACAGAGAACTGAGAATGGTGTGAGTTTGTGTTTGTGTGTGTATGAAGATCAATAAATGAATATGAATATTGATCAGAGAATCCTCCTCATTTATAACACCTCAGCAATCAATACTCAGAGACAGACAGTAAACTAATAATACACACACACATTTGCATTCTGATTTATAATCTGCTTAGACAGGAGAAGATAACTCATGGTGAGACCCTCACAACTGCTTGTATAACTGAAAGCTGACTAAGACATTTACACCCGTAATCAAACACACACGCACACACACACACACACACGCAGGCAAACACACACTTGGTCTCAATGACACAAGTTGACTGTCAAGATCAGACAGGAAGAGCAAGGTCAATTGACTCAGTGTTTTGGAGAATGTTGACAAATGACCAATAATTACACATAAATGCAAATAACTATCTGCATGTGTGTATTTACCTGAACAGCGGAACTTTTTGCTCTTGATCTGGCCAATACGTTTGTTAGCAAGGCGCCGGGGACTGGTGCACCGAGCTCCACTGGTCTCAATAGGGTTGTCTTGCAGGTAATCTGCTAACCACTTCAAATGGCAGTCACACATGAAGGGGTTCTGGGCCAGATGACTGAAAAAGAGAATTAAAATTACTTAAGAAACTTGTCTTTTTTGCCAATAAAGCTAACTAAATTTTATTCCCAACTTACAGACTAACCTGAAGTATTACTGAATCATTTACACATTTGCCAAATTTGGAAGGGGTAATTGATTGGCTGATGAATTAATTTGTGTCATGACATCGGAAACGCCTTTTTGTGTTATGCTTTCACATGTCGATAATGTAAAGTATTCCTTTAGGCTCGCTGCTGTTCAAAAACAGTGATGCTGCTAAACTATAGCTTGGAGTGGCTGTAGCTCAATCAGAGTTTTAAATAGCCCTATTTAGTCCTAGGGTGAACAGATGTCCTGTTTTTCCCCAGGAAAGTCCCTTATTTCCCAGAACAGTTCCTTATTTCAGCTCTGCCGCGAAAACTATCCAGCCAAAGGTAGGCTAACCAAACGCATAATAGAACAAATAATAAAATTCAAACAGTATTCGTTATTAACATGCAGTAAGAGGGCTCTGGATAGGTGAAATCATGCAGACTGGACTCATAACTGAAGCGCTGTCTCGGTTATGAGAGGGCAGGATTGTGCCGAGACAGTGTGCGACCAAATCAAATAGCCTTTACAGACAGTTATCAAAATGTCCATCGCTGCAGAGTATCTACCTCAAGGAAATACATGGTTTAAGTCTAACTGAACCAGTTAGACATGCAAAACTTTTAAATGAATGAATTTCCCCTTTTATAAAAATGACAGTAATAATCCGAAGCACTGAAATAATGGCGCTGGCTTTTATCAGACAGTATATGTGAGAAAAAAAAAAAAAACATGCCAATCCTCTGTAATTTATTGAGTCAAGACCAAAAAGAAAATTACTAGCTTGGCTAGTTAAGATATTTAAGGGATTTCTCATTCATTCATTCATTTTCCTTCAATTTAGTCCCTTTATTAATCTGGGGTCGACACAGTGGATTGAACAGCCAACTTATCCAGCATATGTTTTACGCAGCGAATGCACTTCCAGCTGCAACCCATCACTGAGAAACACTCATACACTCTCATTCACCTACATACACTATGGACAATTTAGCTTACCCAATTCACCTATAGCGCATGTCTTTGGATTTGTGGGGGAAAGCAGAGCACCCAGAGGAAACCCACGCCGACACGAAGAGAACATGCAAACTCCACAGCCGGGACTTGAACCAGCGACTTTCTTGCTGTGATGCAACAGCACTACCCACTGTAACACCACGCCGCCTTTATGGATTTCTGCTCAGCTAAAGTTTAAAGCAATTTTTTTAAAGACAACTCTATTTAAAGTATTTATTGTAAACCACTCATTTAGGAAGTATTAACATGTGGTTTACTATAACCCCAGGGAACAATATGTTTTGTGTAAACCACACTGTAAAAGCTATTTTACATGTTTGTTTACATATTATAGATGTTTAAAAACTATTTTTAGATGGTTAATTTAATTCAAGATTCTTTGTATATGCTTGTGACAAATATAGTAGCTAGAAAATCATAGCTTCACCAATTTTGTTTTTCCTTTTCAAGTTCCTTAAATTGTTATACTACAAGGAACCGTTATAGACAAAACATGACATTAAAAATAGATATTTGTTAAATTATATATACATTTGCATGTTTGTTTTTTTTCTCACTAGTTTTAAATTACTAAATTAGTATAGTATAGTATAGTATAGTATAGTATAGTATAGTATAGTATAGTATAGTACAATACAGTATCGATCAAAGAACAATGTCCACCAATGTTACAAATAACATTTGTGAAAAAAGTCAAGGGAAATGTTCTATCATCAACTAAAACATAGTGGCAATTGTTTTTATTCATTCTGCAACCAAGGCTACTCACAGGGTTTGGATAGCTCTGAGAGAAGAGAAAGTTCCCTTTGCGATGGTCTGAAGTTTGTTGTCATAAAGCGACAGAAGATTCAGATTCTGCAGGTCTTGGAAAGAATCTACACGCAAACAATTGATCTTGTTCGCATTCAGCAATCTGTTGGGATAAACATTCGCATGTGACATTTTATCCAAATCTCACAGGTAAACAGGAAAATCTATACATGCGTAGTAAATTGAGATATTATAAATGTCATATGCAAATAGATTAACATTTAAAGACAAACAAATAAACAAGACATTCTAAAAAAGAGAATCAATTCCCTGTGGTCTCCAGACTCATTTACACTGCATTACGAGAGAACAAAGTTGTGAATAAATAGAGGCTTTATTTTACAAAGCAGCTTTTGTTTAAACAGGATTTACATGTTCCACATTTAGTGCAAGCAGTAAGACTCTGTGTGGGTTTGTGTGTTGTTTGAGGTACTGGTATAAAACTTTTATATTTGTGAGCATTTACAAATGTGAATTTCTTATTTAGTTATTTCAGAAAGAGTCTGAAAGAGTGAGAGATTACATTACATTACATTTTATTTCTTCCCCAAACCTAACTGATTTCTATGAGAAAATTGGGTCCATGGGGGTTCCAATAGGTCTTCTGCAGTATTTGTGATGATAGGGATGCAGTTCAACAGATGATTCATAGGAAAAGTCTACCTTCTGCCACTTTTCGAAATGATCAACTAGGGGTCAAGTTATTATTTATCGCTTTTTTACAACTGCTTTTAAAAAGCGAAAATAATTCAGTATAAATTATAAACCTTTTAAAAATGGTAACATTGGCAATGTTTTCTTATTGTAAGTCACTTTTTCCTTGTAATAACGGTGTCATACCCATGCCATTATACAAGTTTGTGTCCTAATATGTCAAGCAATTGCACACACACACACACACACACCATTGCAAGCAAGCATGCATGTAGGTATGAATGTAGAATGTAGGCTAATGTTCATATCCTTCCAGTGCAAACACAGATGTTTTTTTTTTTTTCTGAGATAATGAATTTTTTAACTGAAACTCTGTGGCCACTGTGGCTACGTAATGCATAACATTTTGATCTAAACAGTATTTTTTTTACTTAAGCAATAATGTGTTAAACAAATAGTACAGTCATTTAAGTGTACATTTAGCAGTCTGACGTCAAGTTTTGCAAGAACACATATTTATATGACATTTTTACAAATATCTCATGTGAAGTAATACTGAATTGCTGTAAACTACCCAAAGACTATATTACAACACTTTATTTTGTCAATAAAATAAAGTGCATTAACTAAATTAATGTGTAATATTATAGTTATTATTAATATACTGGTATGTAAATTTATGTAGAAAAATAATTGTGGTATCTTGACAACTTTATAATGAGCTAATCAAATTTCCCCACACACAAACCTTGTTGTTTTATTAGATCCTAATAGCAACATTATTTAGTATATCTCTTAAGCTGTTTATCATTGGCTGGTCTTTATTGGCAAAATCTGATCCACACATGCTTGCACAGAAATAAACGCCCTGCTCTCATTGTCTTTTCAAACATAAATTCATAGAATGTGCATCACTCACAGTAGCTGCAATGAGAACAGTCCATCAAAAAGGCCTTTGGGAAGTTCAGTGATTTTATTCCCATATAAAACCCTGAAAGGCAGAAACACAAGGGAACATTAAATAAAAGCAAAGATTAAAGATGTTCATTACCCACCCACACACACACGCATTCATCACAAACGGTTCCTCAAACAGAGCACAAGACGCACCACCACAAATCATCCCAGTGCAGGCAGTGACAAATCACATTTGAACACAAACACAATCATGTGGATCCAGATTCATGAAGAAAAGTCAAGAAACACATGTGCACAATCATCTTCAAATGATGAATATATCAATTACAGCTTATATTCATTACTTTATTCTAATGGTCCATAACCTTACGCAAGCTGAGGTTGCTGTAAAAAAGGGTGAGAAATACTGGGTAATTTAACACTAATCTGTTAAAGCCATGCAGTGAAACTTTTTTTTTTTTTTTGCTATTTTTATTTTAAAATGAAAAATGGCATTGTGGCTTTGGCCGTATGCTGATATCCTACATATGCAGAGGCTCACACACAACCTCTACAGAAACAACACAGATTTTCAGTGTCTGCCATTCACAAAGCTGTGTAAATACTACATGAAATATGTATGTTTATCTGATTGGTAATGATAGTGATAATGATTTAAGCTAATACCAGACATCTGCAAACAAATAGTATATTCAGTCAATTATCCACACCCCTGGCAAATTCTGATTTAAAGTTACTTTTATTTACCCAAGAAGGTTTTTTTTTTCTTCTCACAAACACAGACTTCTACCAAAAGAGAATACAATGATGTACAAGAGCCATCATTGTGGAAAATTCTCAGCTTTTATTTACCTTTGAAGAAAAAGAGTGATGTCCAAAATAATTCATACCTTCTGCAAACTAACACAATCAATAGGAAAATCCGAAGTTCTATTACAAATAGTCCAAGCTGTTTTAAGGCATCCCAATTACCCTCATTCATTGGGAACAGCTGTTTTAATCAACTCAACAGATGGAAACAGAAGCTCTCTGCTGTTGGTTTGTGGACAGTCATGGCTAAGACAAAGGAGCTCATTAAGGGCCTGTGGCTGCGCATTTCGGCAAGTCAAGAAAGAGATATAAGACCATGTCTAAATGTTTTGAAGTTCCAGTGGCCACAGGGCAAAGCTTTTTTTTTTATACAACATGTGTCTCATTGTGGCCCAGCCAGTGTCCTGATTTAAATCCAATTCAGAATATGTGGAGGGAGCTAAAACTCATGGTGATGGCAAGGAGACCCTCCAACCTGAAAGAGTTGGAGCTTATTGCTAAAGATGAATAGGCAAAAATACAACAAAGACATAAAAAAGCTGGTCAGCAACTATAGAAAGTGTTTTAATGCTGAAAGAGCCAATAAAGTATTTTCTATTGATTATTAAGTAGTATATTAATTATTTTGGACTTTTTCTTCAAAGGTAAATGAAAACTGAGAAATATTTTTCCACAAAGATACTTCTTGAGCACTGTATTATTATCTTTTGAAGCCTGTGTCATACTGTATATATACATTTTTTTAGTAGGTTCTATCTGACTGACTGTATAATTGTGATGTCATATCAGGACTTGCATGTGTGTGTTCGCTTATGTTACACCGGATCACTCATCTGGCTTGAAGTTGTATTTTTTCAGGAGGAGAGATTTTAAATGGCTGGCTGCTGTTCCTAAGAGGCTGGTCCGAAGGGAACAGGAGAACTGTTCCGCCCACTGAGTTCTGGCTCATTGGAACCCGGTCAGTAAAGTAAACCAAAGAAAATACAGAGACCAGGCAAAAAGGACATATACATACCAACCCCCTAACGCACATGGAAAATACCAGGCCAAAACAAACAGCTTTGTACATTTCAGCAAAGGGCTTATATTAGCTAATTTTATATTCTAGGTCATAAGGTCTGATTTGTTAACATCAGTTGATGTATTAACTGTAATTTGATCATCCCATTAAGACATTATATTAACTATAAATAACGTTGTCAACTAGCATTTGTTTAATACCCGCTAATACTTCCTTTTGATCTATTTTATTCATTGCTGCGGACTTTGCAACTACGCATAGACAAAAGCCAAATTTATTCGAAGTGCCTTCACATACAGTGCACATGTTATTACAACAATTACATGGTGTGTGTAAAGTATGCACGTACTGATGAAATTGGCTGGTGCACACTGTGTGCAAATGAAGTGTTCTTTGGACTTCATATTAACCTCCACTAAAACGTTATTAGCAAGCCAACTCCACTGATAATTAGTTTAGGTTGAGCAAAATTATATGTAGTAAAAAATGTAGAATATTTATATAAATAATGTAAAATAGCATATTTTCAAAGTTGGAAAAGGTCTTCATTGTTTGCTCATGTTAGATCACAGTTTAAAAAAATAAATGAGCAAATATTGAAAATAGCATATTAACATTAAATAATATATTAACTGAATATTAATATTAAATGCTGAAAAAATATTTTTTTAGTTTATGTTTATGCCAACTACTGCAGCTCACCCCTGTGGCCTCATTGTAAAGTGTTACTACTTTCTTTAAAGATGCAGAATGTCTGTTTTGTTTATGGTATTCATTTTAGAATGATAATGGTTTAGCTTTTTCCATGTCATAGAAATTTATGTTAAACTGCCACCTTAGAAAATTCTCATGAGGGTTAAAATAGGTTAAAATAATATTTATTAATATAATATATTAAGAATAATAACTATATCTGTACACATATTAATTAGTAAGACAACAGAAACTGTACAGTAAGGATGCTTCAAAAATGCTTATTAATTTAAGATTACAAATGCCATGTAAATTATGTTTGAATGGTGGTTGGCTTGACTTAAAACCTGCAAGGACTTACCTGCTCTATTCTCTAAAAGCTTGAATGAGTCAGATCATCAATAATTTAGAGAGTGACGGAAGCTTAATATAACTCTTACATTTACTTCTCACGCACACACACACACAAAATATACATACATGCATACACATAGAAATACATATATATACATATATATACACACTTACAGAGAGTTTAAAGAACGGAGACCTTGAAAGGAGTCTGAAGCCAATTCAGTTATTTGATTATTACTTAGATCTCTGAAACAAAAAAAAGAACAATTAGAGAATACGTGTGTTTGTGTGTGATTTTGCATGTATTCTTCATGTGCTCACTCAGACACACACTCACATTCTTCGGAGTCGCTTGTAAGGTGCAAAAGCTCCTGCTGGAATAATCTTGATGGAGTTTTGCTCCAGTCGACTGTGAACAGAGAGGATAAACCAGATCAACAAATCAAGCAGCAGTGCAGATGGAAAATCCAAAGCGCAGAAAGGTAAGGGTAACTGGAAAAATGATGGCCTCTGACAACACTATTGAGGACTTATAGGAGGAGTGTGCATATGAAGAGTGAGGGGAAGACAAGATGGCATTTGAACATTTGGAAAGCCTCATATTTTCTTATCTTGGATGATATTATTTTTATAGAAAAAAAGAAAAGAAAAAGCAGAGGGAAATGAATCTGATTGACAAATGTAATAGTAATGCCTTTAGAATGATTTTAATCATAACTATACTCTTGAACACACTGATTGAACATCTGAGTTTTGCTTTTCGTGCTTGAAAGCCCAGTGAGTGTACACTGTCTGAAACAAAGGTATGCGAGCTGTCACTGGGGTGGTACCTTTTCAAAAGGTACAAATTTGTACCTCAAATGTCCATATTGATACCTCAAGGATACATATTATTATCTAACAAGTCCAAAGGTGTTCCTCTTAAAATGTGTTGAATTTGTACTAATTTATTCTTTTGAAGTAACAATATGGACCCTATAAGTTCAAATGTGTATCTTTTAAAAAGATACCACCCCAGTGACAACTCACGTACTTTTATTTCTGAGAGTGTACTATTTCTGTTTTTATCATTGGATATAAAGTGTATTTGATGCAGAGTAAACTCTAGCATGTAAGATTCACAGTTGCTTGGCTGAGAGCCCTCTGTGTTTTTATTAAACACATAAGAAGAGAAAGAAAGAGTCTCTCTAGCCCTGAGAAATTATATTCTTTGTTATTGTGGTTTTGATTTTGAAAAAATGTGCTTGTTTAAATTTACTTAGCCTTTGAAGGTCTCGTGATGTTTGACATAATCTCAGCCAAAACAAGAAGAGAGGGCAGGGCATAATGTAGCCCCTCCCCTTTAAAAAAAACAGCCAATAGTGTTTAGTTTTATCACTGCTCTGCCAGATAGAGTGGTTGAGCTCAAGAGCATCAAATAAGAAGGGTCTTGAAGAGGGCAGGGCATGTCAGATTATGATTTGATGAGAAACTGAATTGTGAGGTGATGTGAATAAAACCGTTCATCCATTTAGGTGGAAATGAGAAAACTACAAGCTTTACATGTTTATATCAGTTTTACTAGTTCTACTAAACGTAAATTTTGGTACTGTTTTAGAGCACAATAGATTTATAGATATTTTAAAAACTACATTGTAATTAAATAAGACCTTTAAAATTGAGCAGAAGACACTGCTGGTTCCTTCAGTAGCGGTCAGAAATACTAACAAGAACATGAGTTAACAAGATCTAATGATAAGTGACTGTATTTTCATGAACGTTAACAAAAATAAATAAACACTGAGGGTGGCATGATGGCTCAATGGCTCAGTGGTTAGCATGGTCGCCTCACAGTAAGAAGGTCACTGGTTTGAATCTCGGCTAGACCAGGTGGTCTATTGGCTTGGGTTTCCTCTGTGTGCTCTGGTTTCCCCCACAGTCTAAAGACATGTGGTATATATGAATTGGATAAACTAAATCGGCTTAAGTGTGTGAATGTTAGAACATATGGGTGTTTCCCAATATTGGGTTGTGGCTGGAAGAGCATTCGCTGGATACAGAGTATATACAGGAATCAGAGAATGAAATTCGAGAACTTTTTAAGACTCTTTTCATACATTTTACGACCTTATAACCACTTAAGGTTTCAACTGGAAACAGTGGTGAGATTTTAACTCACAGTATTTACTAAATATTAAGGTAAAAAACTAATCCAAAACTAAAGCATTATTCATATACAGAATAAAAATCTATTAATTCAGCAGTTAGGCACCTATAGAAATGCAGAAATAATAGTGCTGCCATGGTTACTGCAGTAAACAAAGCAGCATGATGTCAAATCTAGAAGGATTTTATTGATTACATAAACTACATAGTATCCTGATATTCGCAGATTGAATTCAAGCAAACTTTATCATATAACCATACACTACATAAACAAAAATTATATTAAAAATTAATACCTTACAAAATAGCATTTAAAACTTTTTAATACTTTTAAAAGCCTTACATTTCTCTACATTGATTTATTTACATTTTTAAGACCCAGTGGACACCCTGTGCATAAAACCTATGCTGGAAAAGTTGGCAGTTCATTCCACTGTGGCAACCCCTGATAAATAAGTGTTTAAGCTAAAGAAAAATGAATGAATGAATAAACACTGAATAAATATGCTGCTCATTGTTTGTTTATGTACACTAACTAACATTAACTTTTGAAACCGTTACTTATTGTAAATGGTTACAGTATAATAATAATAATGATAATAATAATAATAATAATAATAATAATAATAATAATAATAATAATAATGTATATAGGTGTCTATAAATGTTTGAGAAAGTTTAACAAATTTAATCCACAAATAATTATTTAGTTCTACACTTTCTTTACGTGTTTTCCTGTTTCTCAGGTGTTATCAATTTTATAGCTGAACATTTAATTAATCAATTTTTTTAATCCTAATTTTTAAAGTGCTTTTTTGTCAACTTTCCAAAATAATTACATACATACATAACTATACTATGATATATAGCATTACCGTGAAATAAAATTACTCATACCATGACACAGAATTTTGGCCACCACTAGTAGCAGCTGTGTCTGTTTGCTCTTAGGCAGAGCTCATGTCCGGTTGGCTGTCTGCTTCTGTCAGACTAAGAATGAATCCAACATCTCCGTTTCATGAAAATTTAATTATCAGCACACTTCTAAACATAGACATTTAAACATTGTCTCAGTATTCTATACTTTTTTCAATGTTTTTTTATTATTATTATTTATTTAGAAATGCTTATGCCTAAAGAAAAACAGTACTGTGTCAGCCTTATACTGTACAAGCTTTTGTAATTGACATAACATTGGTCAGATAATGGAGCCTGTTCACTTAGAAACTCTGTTTACACATTTTTTCCTCAATTGTATTATTGTATAATATCTGAAGCCTGCTGCTGCTTACATATCTGCATGCTTTAATAAAAAAATATGATTATTATGATGATTCGTTTCCATGGATTAAAACAATGTAGTAAGTTTGAGCGTGGACACAGATTTCCATTTTATTTTACCAAAAGTTTAAGCATTTTACCATTAATTTTGACTTAATTTCTTATAGCTGTTGTCTCACTTGCTGCTTTTTACACATTAAACATTACACATTTAAGCTAATTTCATTTTTGATGAGTATAAAAAACAACATCAGTTGTAGGTTTCTTAACTGCATTGTCATGACAGCTTTAATTAACTAAGAGCAATTATCTTATATCTCGTTTTCTAACATAAAACAAGCCATGTATATTTATAACACCTCTCGCACTTGTGGTGGCACTCTCTCTCTTTACATATCTGTTCTTCTCTTTGACAGTAAATATGTCATAAATCAGATAAGCTCTCCAAAGTTGACAGAGCATGAAAATCAAGCCCTTGCATAGGTGGATGAACACACGCATACACACACATTTCATTCAACCGGAGCCAAATGAGATAATCCGACTCATCTGCCAAGGCCCGGCATGCGGCTTTCAGAGGATGAAAAATGAAGAGATGACAGAAAGAGAAAGAAGGGAAGAAAAAAGACAGACAATGACCCTGGCAATGAGAGGCACAACAAAAAAATGATGAGGCATCTCAATCCAGGCCCCGTTGGCAGAGCGCTGGCCCTCAGAAGAGATGCCATTGATAAAATAAATCCATTTCCACACTGAATTAATGCGCATGACTTCAGCATGGCCTCCGTGGTTAAAATATTTGATACACATTCAGCAGGCCTCTCTTTCATTCTTTCTCTCTCTCTGTGTATGTGTGTGTGTGTGTGTGTCTGTTTATGTCTGTATGAAAACTATATCTGTCAAAAAAGTCTACATGGAAACCTCAAGTGTGTGTCTGTGTTTCAGACCTACAAATCTGTAAAAGTTAATGTAAAAGTTAATATACATATACAAATAAGTTAATATACATATAAAAATATACATTCAAAGCATTTATAATATAATATAATATAATATAATATAATTTAATATAATATAATATAATATAATATAATATAATATAAGATAAGATAAGATAAGATGATATGAAAATTAGTATTTAAGTTATGTTTATAATTAAATTTTATTATAATTAGTATAATGTACTAAGCAAGAGAAGCAAATGAGAATGTGTGTGCCCTTCTATCTGCTCTTCACTCACATCTCAGTGATAGTTTCTGGCAGGTTGGTGGGTATTTCAGTAAGTCCTTTCCCCCGGCAGTCCACTACATTATTACTGCAGGTGCAGAGCTCAGGACACTGCAGCACACTACAGGATGAGTGTGACTGGGGCCCTAAAACACACATACACACAAACAGATGATGATGAGAATGCAGACACATATTGTACTGTATGTCTCACAAAGATTAGTTAAATTTTAATAAAAGCTTAAGCAAACAAGTTGTGGGCTGCATATTAGAAACTAAATGCAATCTGATTTTTTTTACTCGTGTTATTTCAGCCCAAAATAACTTGCCTTCACTGAAGTCTTGAAAGCATGAGCAAAGAAAGATAACAGTTAAAAAAAAATGAATATGACAGAATATGAAAGGCTCTACAAAAAACAGCAAATGTATGTATTTATAAATGTTTGTCTCTTTATTCTCATATGACATGTCTCCTATAAACATGCTGGGTAAGTAAAACAGTCAGAAACTCACCTGTACACATAAACTCTTTCTTCTGAACCTCTGCGATGTTGTGGCCCCTAAGGGAGGGTGGAGCCATACACTGTGTGTAGAGGCCAAGGCGGGGCCTCTGTCTCAGCCAATCAGAGAGCCAGGCCACATTGCAATCACATAGCAGATTATTAGAGTGCAGGCGACTGGACAGATGCAAGAAAAAAAAAAAAAAGAGTTATTTGAAGGTCTGCTTGCAGTCGGAGCTAATATATCAACACAACCTGTGCGTATATATATATATATATATATATATATATATATATATATATATATATATATATATATATATATATATATATATATGTGTGTGTGTGTGTGTGTGTGTGCGTGTGTGTGTGTGTGTGTGTTTGTAAGTGTGTGTAAATCTTATCAACTTTCCATCACACAGTTTCATGTTTATTAATTGCTGTCTTATACTTGCAAACAACAGTGATTTCTCTGTTGCCTCTGGTGTTTCTGTGTAGTCAGCATCTTTAGCAGTCCTTCCCCTAATAAGATTAATGTTACAACCAAATTCGCACCACATTTGTAAAAATCTGTTGTAATATTTTCTAACATGAAAAATTAATGTTAAAATGATGTTAAAATAATATAAAGATAAATTATCAATATGATACCCAGAAATTGAAAACAAAGATAGTGAGACATAATAATGTTTAATAATATATATTTTACATTATTTTATACAGTAATTCATCATTCATTCATTCATTCAATTTCTTTCGGCTTAGTCCCTTATTAATCAGGGGTTGCCACAGCAGAATGAACTGACAGCTATTCATTTTCCTTCTGCTTAGTCCCTTATTTATCAGGGGTTGCCACAGCGGAATGAACCAACAACATGTTTTACGTAGCGGATGCACTTCGGCTGCAACCCAGTACTGGGAAACATCCATACACTTTTACATTTACACTCAGACACTATGGCCAGTTTTGTTATCTAATTCACCCATTTCTTTGGACTGTGGGGGAAACCAAAGCACACGGAGGAAACCGCCGCGAACACGGGGAGAACATTTAAACTCCACACAGAAATGCCAACTGTGATTTTTCAAAACTTCTATTGGACTTTTATTTTTTTTATAAGATTTTTTAGGTTCAGTAATTGTTCTTACTAAACTTATTTGATAGTGGTTAATTATATATATTTTAACAAAATTTAAAAAGGTCTGTGTATGCTTTTTCAGATCTCAAATTACTCTCATGAGTGCCATTCGTGCCTGCTGTTCTTGTGTAAATCCACCAGAGGCCGCTGTCGACTGACTGACTGACTGACTGACTGACTGACTGACTGACTGACCGATCAACTGACCCACCCTCCTGCCTCCTTAAACCCAGCCAATAGTGTTTTCAAAAGCATGGATTGACTCGCCCACCCACTTCCCTTAATCCAATCATCAGTTTTAAAAAGCAATTCAGAAAAAGAAAAGCCCTCGCCTAATTTTTACCATATTTTCAGATTTTACCACATTCTCGTCCTGTTATTTACTTGTTTATTTTATTTTTTGGCTTCTATTTTTGTCTGCCGTTCTTTACCAGACTCGAATATCATCGCCATGATCAACTCCTTCCTGTGTCTCAAGTCTGTCAATGTACATGGCGAGCTACTAAACAAACTGGTAACAACGGGAAAGCCATCCTTATGCAGGTAAGCAGTCAGTTGGTAAGTGTGAAAAGGAACGGCGTCATAGTGTTCCTGCCAAACATACTTCTGGCTACATATTCAAAATCCCCAGAAATGTATGTACGGCTGTATTCTCAGAATAAGCCTATGTTGGATGTATGGCAACAGAACATAAGATGATTTAGTACCAAACTATTCAATGGCATGATCGCAAAGACTGACATTTCACACTTTCCTATCTTGCTGCACGCTGCCTTTCTTTCCATCATCTACTGCTGACGTTTAGCTAACAAGGTCCAGAATACAAATATAGCAATTAGCTACTTTAGCTCATCACGCAAATGGAATTAAATCATGATCGCACACAAAGAACTCCAATCTATGAAATGTATGCTAATGAAACATACATATTAATGCACTTATTAAACCTTATTTCCTTATAATCACAGTTATTAAGGGCCAGCATGATAAGTGCTGGATAACATGCTAACGATAGTCTGAAGAACTGCTTTAATGTGGTTTAATGTGATGTGTGTGTGTGTGTGTGTGTGTGTGTGTGATAGAATAGAGAGAAAGAGTGTGTGTGCATGCGTTGTGTGTGCTTGTAAATTACTCACAATGTCCTGAGCTTGGGCATGTGGTTAAAACTGGCCACTGACAAACGAGAGATATTGTTGTTGTTCAGTGTGCTGTGAAACAAAGATAGAGATAGAAAACATTCATTCTATACACTGTGAAACCCAAAAAGTTAAGGTAACTCAAAGCAATTGCATTAAACCACTTAAGTTCAAGAACTGATCCTGAGTACTGAAAAACTTAATCCATTTGAGTAAACGAAGCAATTTGAGCACAGTAAAACCCAATCAATGAAGAGAACTTAAAACCAACTGAGTACTGTAAAACCTAAAAAAGTCTGGGCAACTCAAACTGATTGAGGAAAAAACTAATCTGTATGAGTACTGTGAACTTAATCCATTTAAGCTGAAGTAATGAGGTATTTAATTAATGCAATACCTTCAACACTGAGTTCAAAACTCTTTTCAAATAATAAGATTTAACTTTCAGTAAATTTTAAATTTCACCTTTCATTTGATAGTTTAAAGTTGAAGTTGACTGTTGAATTTTACAGTGTAGTTATATTTAGAGAACCAGCATATACAATAAAGAGGGACAATTCCATTTAAAAAAATAAATACATTTTTGTCATATTGGTTCCTAGTTTTTTTGCTAGTAGAATGTCCAGTTTCAAACATCGAAAGTGAATGATGACCCTTGAACGTGAACTCTGCCTACTGCTGATCCCCATTAACAGTCATAATAATAAAAGAGCATTTTAAACAATTATGCAAATAAGTTTGTATTCCACACACACACACACACACACAAATTCATTCATTCATTTTCTTTTCACCTTAGTCCCTTTATTAATCCGGGTTCGCCACAGCGGAACAAACCACCAACTTTACGCAGCGGATGCCCTTCCAGCTGCAACCCATCACTGGGAAACATCCATACACACTCATTTACACACATACACTACGGACAATTCTTTGGGGCTTACCTAATTCACCTATAGTGCGTGTCTTTGGACTGTGGGGGAAACCGGAGCACCCGGAGGAAACCCACACGATCACAGGGAGAACATGCAAACTTCACACAGAAATACCAACTGATGCAGCCGAGGCTCAAACCAGCAACCTTCTTGCTGTCAGGCGATCGTGCTACCCACTCTGCCACCGTTATGTCCCACACACAAAACAATGCTTTGAAATATATTCTGAGCACATCTGCTATTAAAAAGAAAAGCTCCTAAAGCCTCTTCTGTCCAATTGTCACAAAGCATCAAACAATTCAAAAACAAGCATTTTGACACACTCATTTGTATATCTTAAATCCATCCGCTAACAGGATTATTCCTCTAATCCTACTTTAAAAAGCCGATATGAGTTTTATATAATCATTATATAAACACCCTGCAGGTATGATCTGACAGCCGAGCACACAGCATGCCGTCAACGTACAGAGAAATGCACACCAACTTTACACCAATATACAATTTTCTCATCTCTATTTCAATCTAAATCAAACAAAGTTTCTGGAACATTCTCAAACCTGTGTGGCCCCGCTTTGACCCAAGTCTAATAAAATCTTGATTTTTAAAAACATCTCTATGGTTGGATTTTATTCAACAGTCTCTCACACACACACACACTCACACATAGTGCACTTACAGTACTTCTAAGTCCCGCAGAGCTCTGAACGCTCCATCTTCAATGCAGGAAATCTGATTATAGTCCAGCTGCCTGAGAGAGAAAATCACAGAGAAAAAAAAAAATTTGAAGATGTTGTTGTCGCTTTTTTTGTTTGGTGCTCACAGAATATGGTAATAGAGTAAAACACTCTCAGAAACAATACTGATCCTTACTAATAAACAACTTGCATGTTTCACGCTTCCATCCTTCAGTCTGTCTTTCTTGTCTCTCTCTCTCATTTTGTTGTCACTGTCTTTTTCTCTTTCTCTGTCCTCCAGTTTCCTGCCTCCACACTGTGTCTGCTGTGCTCTCCTCCACTATTGTCTACAGTACCTGCGCTGCCCACTCCTCCCATCTGTGTGCGTATATATGTGTGTGTGTGTGTGTGTGTGTGTGTGTTCATGATGGTCAGTTTGCCGGGGCACCTCATTAACGCACACTATCATTAATGTAAAGCTCTATTTCCCTCTCTCTTTTACACATATACAGTATACACAGAACACTCACAGGTTTTTGATCTCTGTAGATCCTCTGAAGGCTTTTCTGGGAATCCCCTGGATTTGATTTTCACTCAGGTCCCTGGCAAATAAAGAGAAAGAACATTAACAGTCACAGTCAGTTATGAAGGATGCATTAGGATGATCTACAGGTCTCTTTAAGGCAGAGAGTACACTATTTTTCCATCATTGCAGTTGTTGTGGTAAGTGTGAATTCTTCAAAAAAAAAAAACAAAGGAATGTAAAGCCTCTGAATGTCAGATGGTAACATTTATCTTAGTTCATTCATTTATTCATTCATCCATTCATTCATTCATTCATTCATTCATTCATTCATTCATTCATTCAATCAAAAGTTCGTCCGTCCGTCCGTCTGTTCATTCATTCATTCATTCATTTTCTTTTCAGCTTAGTCCTTTTATTAATCAGGGGTCGCCACAGCAGAATGAACCGCCAACTTATCAAGCAAATGTTTTACACAGCGGAAGCACTTCCATCCGCAACTCAACACTAGGAAAAACCCGTACTCTCTAGCATTCACACACATACACTATTCTGTCTTTTCTCATGTTATGTCTGAATTATATGACCTTCCTTACAACACAAAAGATAAAAACGTGTTTGCAAAAAAGATTTTAAGAACATTCTAGTCTTCAAAATAAAGTTGTTAATCTCATAAAAAAAATGTGTATTAGTGATAACTATTAGCGTCTGATTTATTTATTTGGATGTTTAAAGGATTAATTTGTTGGCTCTATTTTGACTCCAACCTTTTTCCAAGATAATATTTATATGTCTGTTCTAATCAGTCTGTTATCGTTTTAGAACAAACAATAAATAAACTTAAATAGATTATATCAGTTTTATGTTCTATCTAGTGAATATGTCTGTTTTTTTCTGTTTTAGTAACTTGATAAATATTCAATTCTCCATACATGTAAAAGAGCAACCAGAACTTAAAATAATACAAAAAAGGCAAATGCTGAGGATTTTACATTACAACAAAGTATCTAAGACATCATGCGCCAAACCAACCAGCTACTAAATTAAAGCAAAACAATGAAACATTGTGATTAACACAATCAATAAAAAAATGATAGATAAATTAATAACTTAATGTTCTTTGTTGCAAAATACAATAATATAAATGCAAAATGAAAATATAATCCTGATGCACTTTGTGATGGTGTGCATTTGTACTTCAAAGACACAATCTTTGATGAAGAAGATGAGAGTCATTGAAGATTTAATTGCACTGGCATTCAAAAGACAAGTGAACATTATCATAAAGGTTTATGACCATTTTTGTTATATTTAGAAAGCATGTAAAGCTTTTATATAAATAATTAATGCTTCAGATGTTGTATGTGCGTATTGTGTTTACATTTTTGTTAATATGTCAGTACTGTGTTTTTCATTCAATGCAAATCAAAGAAAATGTATGTTTGGTCTATTGTAGATAACATACTTGATGTGAAATATGAACAATTATGAGATTACAATGAGAACACTATATATATATATATATATATATATATATATATATACATTTTTAGACATTTTATTTATATGAAACACACACACACGCACGCACGCGCGCACACACACACACACACACAAATATAGTTATGACACTAAACCAATATTTTTAACAGAAGCTCCAACTTCTTCAGGCATGAAAGCAGACATTTAAACAGCCTGGGTAAGTATTCAGCGCTCTTTAAAATGTCATCTTGACATGACCTGAGCATGAACTGAATGGGAATCATCTTTAATCAGGTTCATCTGCGCCTGTACAGGACACCGACATGGCGTCTGTGTGCACATTTATGAGATCAAAAGTACTTCTGGATTACAGCACAAACATTCCAGCTGTCAACCAGATGAGAGTGAGACGAATTTAGGCAAAGACAATCACACCATGTAAATCAAACAATTAAAAAGCCTGTTCCCAGTTCAACAGGGTTACTAAAATCAAAATAAAGCACCACACACTCAAAGACATAGTGGGAGGTGGGCTCAACAACTGGGGACAGCTCTCTCTCTCTCTCACACGCAGACAGGACACACACACATACACACACATACATTTGTATTGTACAGCTATAAACTGGTTACAGCTATTTATCCTATAGATGAAATGCTTCCTATAGGTTTGAAATATACTGTACTTGGATTGGTAGCCGGATTGAAACACACCATTCATCTACATCACATAAACAGTTAACTATATGCGACAAACAAAACCTGATTAAAATTGTAACAATAATTTTAATTATTATGACACTGTTGGACACTGTTTCTTTTCAATGGATTAAAAAATACTGTTGAGAAAAAAAAAGAAATCCACTATTCTTCTTACTTATTTGCTATTTAGGAGCCACGTGCATTTTAGATATGTATATAAAATAGCCTATGTAAAATAGCCTAATGGCATCATCAAAATAATAAAATAATTAGCAACAGAGAAATATATTTATGTTATTTTGCAACCAGTTTAGACCAGTCATTTGGTCTTCTCTAAGTAAATACAAAACTTTTTTGTCGTTTAGATTCAAGAATGAACTATTGAATGTTTCTCATCCCCAGTCAGCTGCAAAGCCAAGTAAAAGTAGGCAAAAAAGTACTGCAAAAACACATGCTTAGTGAACAACAGCTTTAAAAAGCAAAAGCCAAATCCCAGACATTTTAGGAGATTTAGAAACCCCAGCCAGACTAATTTTTTAAGTGCCAAAAAGGAGCGTCTCTGTGTGTCTACAGAAAACGTGACACTGTTTGTGGGAGTGTTGGAGTGTTGTTCACGTACACAGAACGAAACTTGTAAAAGAGAGAAGATTTTCTACAACTTAATCGATTGCGGATGTTTGGTTAAATAAGGCAGATACAAAATAGTGTAAAGACATGATAATAATAGTAAAAAAACATGTCACTAAATATTCTTGGGTGGCCATTAATACAGTATACCTGGGTGGCCCACCCAAGTAAAAGTCTATGTGTATGAAGCTCTTAAATGTAATGATTTTTTATACTGTATTTTCTATCCAACTCTTCCCCTGAAACCCAACCCTGAAAAGACATAATCATTTTCAAACTTCTAAAATACTTAATTCGGTGTGATTTCTGAGCTTTTTTCTGCATGGTGACCAAATAAAATGTCCCCACAAGGTCCAAATTTACTGCACACTCACACACACTATACAACTTCAGTGGCAACATAGTATAGAACACTCAGTAGGACATCGGGTGCAAAGAAAGAACTGAAGGATAAAAGCAAAAGAAAGAGGGTTAAATGATGACCCCTGAGCACCTTTAGAGGAAGTGCTTCACTCGCTCTCTTCCTCTTTTCATTAAATGAACAAAAACGAACAGAAGCTTAATCCTTGCTTTCATCCTGCTCTCCGTCCTTCACTTTCTGTCACTTTTGCTTTTTCTTTACTCCTGCTGTGGGAAAAAAACTCATACAAGACACAATAAAGCGCAGAGAAGTTAAACGAATCAACGCATATGCTCACTCTCACTGTGAGTATTAATATAATGAAGAGTTATGAAGAGCCCACCTGCACTAATTATGATGACCAATTATCTTATTCATTTCAATGAATATCAATTACTTTAATAGCAGTTAACAAAACACTTGGGTTTTTTTTCCTCCAAGGGTCACATGATCAGATTTTAAGAGCAAGGCATGTGATCAAATCACCATTCAGGGGGTCCCACGGGTTGACCTTTGCACCCATGGAGTGTGCATATGTGCGGGTTTCTGTGTGTGCGTCTCCATAGGGGGTGACTTTAATGAAGTGTCTTCCCTCACGCAAAGCAGACCCTCAAAGACAAGCCTCTCATTTATAGACGTACACCCGCACTTTCCTCTCTCACACAAACACAGCATGGGACCCTTACAGATTGTTAATAGCCAGTTCAGTTAGCCAGACCTGTCAGTCAAATTCCTTAGCCGTCAATCATAATAGGAGACAGACACTGAGTCTCCAAAAACTAGACACTGACCATAAGAGTCATCAACTGTGTGTAAGTGTGTTTGTGTGTGTGTGTTTGTGTGTGTGTGTGTGTGTGTGTGTGTGTGTGTGTGTGTGTGTGTGTGTGTTTGTGTGTGTGTGTGTGTGTGTGTGTCCACACAGTGAGGTCAGGCTAGACAGAGATAGATTGTCTGTCTGTTGAGGGCTCTATTCATCAAGAGGCCTGTCATTTTCATGAGTGGCACATGACAGCACCAATCACAGAGCACCAGGATTTAAATGAAAATGCCAAGGAGACAGACAGGTATTTATAATATCACAAATATTCACTCAAACACACACACACACACACACACACACACACACACACACACACACACACTTGTGGCAGCCGTGATGCATTCCGTTTTCATTCACTAGGGGGCAGTGTGAACTAAGCAGCATGGACGACACACACCAAGTGCTTTTGTTAAGGTTATGTCCATTAACCTTGTAAAGACATTACACATGACAATAGCTCAGAAATAAATCACTATTTAATACAACTGGTAGAAATAAATTTTCTAAAATAATAATAATAATAACAGAAGGGAAATTCAACGAAATTCTGTCAGTGATTTACAAAGTATTTGAATTCAAATAGTGCTATTAGAGCTGTTGGGGGAGAAACATTATCATATATTATATTTTAGCTGACAATATTCAATACTGCTCTTTTCATCCTGTAATCATAAAGAATTGGGTTTAATGCAAGTAAGTGGGCTCTAGTCATTGTGGGACATTAAGTTCTGTCCAGTGGCAATCTGGGCTATCACTGGGGGATGGGCTACCGAGAATGTTGTCCCAAGCCCTGTGACAAGGGGGGCCCACTAAAGTGCACTATGCTATAGCCTTCACATTGAAAAAGGGGGCCCACCGATTAACATTTTGTCCTGGGTCTCAAGACTTTAAGTAACTGACTGCCAAAACCCTCTGCTTGGTTTAAAACTTACTTGCATTTTCCTTTAGATGAGCAAGACACTTTTTCAAAAATGAAACTGCATTTATTTCCTTTTTTTTGTGTGTGTGATAGTGGATTAAACCAAGAAATCCTACAATATGAGTCTAC